AACTTACCATTTTTGCAGCACCTTATAACACTGACAGAGCTATTCCTTTATCTGTCATCTTTTCTTTCCAGGGACAGATTCTGTATTTTGCAATTTAGAAGCACATTTTAACTAAAAGCATAAAGGACTCCATGCCTCGTTTCATATTAGAACAGCCCTATCCAATATACGTTCTCTCCTTTTAGAGGGAATGCATCATCTAATCCTTTTAAATGTAGTGTAGCAATCTGGTTTGTATAAATCAACATTTTCCCATGTTTACAAGATGTTACCTCAAATGAGGTAAACTATTTAAAGAGTCCCATAAAGAAAAATAAAATCTAAATCCACTGTAAAGCTCTGTCTTGGCATCAGAAGCTTTAGAGTATTTTACCATATTATACTGTAATTGTATTATAGCTGGTGTCCTCATCATTTCTTGAAAAACGCACTTCACAGCCCTCCCTTATTGACACTTTTTTGCAATTCTGCAGTTAAACATGTGGCTGTAGTGAGTTTTGCAGATCTGACAGTGGACTTATACCCTGCCTACTAAACCAGAACTAACTTCATCTCAATTCTCTTAGCTAAGCCTAAATCATTTTCTTTCTGAATAAAAACCCTTATATGGGGTAAAACTCCCAGATCTCTGATACTTGCATTCAGCTACTGTCCCCACACTGTGCTCTTTTCCATTCCCTAACCCACAATTCCTGTTTTTAGATCCAATTTAAAACCATTGACATTTGAGCTGTGAAGATGAAAATCAAAAAATTTTCAGAGCTTTCCATAAAACCTGGCATTTTGAGACATCTCACCGAGAGAACTCGCCCATGACTCTAAGATGATTCAAAATTTCATACAGCTTGTCTTTGAAAGTTCCCTATCCTTTTTCATTAGCATTAAACCCATACAATTTCACTACAGATATAAATCACCTCAAAAAAAAAAAATACATACACACACAAACTAAAACAACAAAGCTCGATTAAACCATCACTGAACAAAGCCCAGACAGGTGGGGCAGGAGAAGTGGGTACCAATTCCCAAGACCAGGCTAAAAATCTTTGAAAACAACCACAGAGAGGGGCTGCCAGTCCACTCGTAGCAGCACACACAATTCTCTATTAATTGGAGAATGAAGAGCTATAATTTAATGTTATTTTACCCTCCGTAAGCACAGAGGGACCTAACTACTTATAAAGGGAGGCCGACTTCTATTGATACACAGTCATTTTAAGTGGGTATTTTCAAACTCATTGTGGAGCAAAAGCAAAAACCCCTTTTGATTAGGGAACAAACAGACAGAAACCCAAGCACAAAGAGGGGGGAGAAGCCAGGAGGCCAAGTCACAGGACAACACAGACAGACAGCAAGCGGACATACTCACGAACACATGGCAGAACAGGTTTCTGCAACAAAAATGTGGGATTTAAGTGGTGTAAAAGAGAAAAAGGAATATAAAAGGGAGCTAATCCCACACGGAAACGTGACACTCAACACATACACATCTATTTTCTTTGATATCAGATGCCTTCAAAGTCAAGGCAGCTGTTCACACTGGATTATCCTAGGGAAGCAGCTTGGCAAATCAGTGCGGTAAGTTCTCGTCAAGAAGGTAATTGCTGCCATTAAATCATATGGAAAAGCAGGGAAATGACTCAGTGCATTGTATTTGCCAACGGCAAATTGTGTTTGTAGGCAAAAATGTGAACAGAGAAAAGAAATTCTACAGCTTGGCAAGACACGTTCTGATTCTTCCTCATGTTTGTAGAGCATGAGGTTTCGGATCGACAGGGGAAAGTAAAATATTCACAAAACTATACCGGAATCTATAGGATAAATTAAAAAATAATTCCATGTAATGTAATTCTTCATATAATACTTGTAGCCAAGTATTTTGAAATGCAAAGCCAAAGTCACAACAGGAAACAAACAAATTAACAAGCAAACTACAGGAAATTAAGCAAACATATGTCAAAAACACAAACTATGACTTTTTGGTAGATCAAGGCCAAGTTTTCTTCCTACAGAGATGAAAAAACCTCTAGCAAACATTTATCTTTTTGCATATCTAAGGCAATTTGACATTATGCCTTTCTGAATGACAGTGGTGTGCCCAAATGCCCTGGAAGAGCATTTGAAGCACAGTGGAAAGGAGCAGATAATCAAAAAGTGCAATAATTCTGGCAATGGGTATTTTTCTTTATTTTGTATTTTAATTTCTCATGGACAAAGTAATGTTTTGTGAAACACACACAAGTATACACACGTATGACAGGGAAAAGAACAAACCAACAACCCAGACTTCAATACTGCAGCTGCAACTCTGTATTTATAGTCAATTTAATATCTAAGTACGTGCATCTTCTGCACATCTAATAATTTACAAATTGACAAATATTTACAAACCTGCATTTGCAGATGGGCCAGACAATTTTAAAGTAGACCGTGTTTCGCCTAAATGCATCACTATTTCACTCTAAAGTGCTAAGAAAACAGTGCCCCAGTGCCCTGAAACTAAAGGGAATGAAAAAATCTAGAAACTTAAAGATAGACTAAAGCAAAATGGTCCACAAAACCTGCCCCCAGTGCTAACTGGAAACACTTAGAAAGAACTTATTGTAGCTATGGACAGAAAACTGGACTGAATACCTATTTGCTCATGGCTAATTCAACCCCCACTCAAGCTAAATGCAACTCTTCAGTAAACTTATTCAGAACAAAATAGGATCTATAAACAGCTTTCAGCTGAAAAAGTTCTGAAGCAGGAGGCAATGTCAAAGGCTACTATGCTAGGCTAGACTACATGGGCTATTCTGTCTTTGAAAACATATATATATTTTTTTGGTTCTCCAAATTAAAGCCAAACCCTCACCCCAAAATGCCAGTTGCAACCCAGTGCAAACGTATTTCATGCAAATCTGCATGTACAATGAATTAAACCATTAAGATTTGTACTTATTACTTTATTATGATATGGATGAGATGACCTCCACAGGACCAAGAAATAATTAAGAAGGGGTGCAGTACAAACTGGAAGTAGTTTATGAAGAAATCACGGTTGGAAAGTTTCTCATGACCATGTTGCCACTGCAATGAAAAACCTGAACAGGGAAAACGCACAGAAGAACAGACTTCATGTTTTCAGTAAATGCAGGTTTGAATGAGCCTCAGTACAGATTTTTGGTTTTGAACAGAGTCTTAAACTCAACTATGTGACTGTCTGTGAGGAATAAGTCAATACCAACTGTATAAAAGTGAAGATCCCAATGCTGGGGGGCCCAACAGGTGAAGAACAACCAGGGATAACTGTTGTTTTCCCAAGCATTAGCACCACGGGAACAACAGCACAGATAGAGGTCTCTGAGCTCATGAAGGCACCACCATGGAGGTGGATCAGCCACATTCCCCTTTTGGTCTCCACCTGCCCAAGCAGTGAGAGGGCTCTTAGCTTCAGATGGGAGCAGATGGGCATTTTTTTCATGCTTCCACTACGTTTGAAACGTACCTTGAAAAACATGACTATATTCAGAATTAAAGGGTTTGTCTCTGCTTGCTCTTCCTTTGCCTGAGAGATATAAGAATATTTGGAAGAGCTCCCAATAACAATCAGGAAAAAAATAATTGTGTGCATGCTCCCACATACAGGGAGTCAGACTGTAGCTGTGTGAAGCAAGTATGGTGGTCTTTCAGTCTGGTTCAAGGTGGCTTCAACTCCATACCTACAAGAAGTGCACTTAATATTATTCTTTAAATACCATATTTTTCTGTAGTTCAGAGTAATCACAAAATTTACTTTAAGTTTGCATGGTGAACATCTGCGTGTTGAACTTCCTTGGGACAATTCTGAGTGTTAAGTATTGCTACTCCTGGGATCTATTTAATTGGTCTCCAGTGGTACACCTCTAAAATAAGAATTCCATTTCTAACCCACTGTCTAGTCTGGTAAAACATTAAGAAACACTGAAGACCATTCCTTCCATTTCTGCACAAACAATACTGATCCGTTACTTTTCGCACCTCCATCCCAAAGCTATTGGTTGCCACAGGCAATCACACACAATATTAGACAATGACAGAAGTAAAGATTATAAAACGATGGCAACAACTTTAACATGTCCAAATAAGAAAATCAAGCAGCTGAAGTTATGTAAGTTATTATGGTACCATGTTACATAGGTACTGTGCAAGAAACACACAGTGCAAGAAGGCATTGGCAGAAGAGCTGCCCCCCTCTCTTGGCAGCATGAGCAAAATCCCAGCCCTACATAAGACATTACTTTTGTCTCAAGTCCATACACTGGACTATGAAGAACCATACGTATAATCAGTTCTAAACTGATTGAAGATTTACATCATTTAGAAAGCAACACAAGGAAAACAAATTAAAGACCAGGATCTTTTGAAAGTGGAAGTTTAAACATTAAGTTCAGGCTCTGACTAAGCAGGTGTCCTTTACTGGAATCACTGAAATTTCACAGTTATCAGACAGGTTTATGCAGAGGGAGGGTACAGGGCCCTACCTATGTGCCCAAATAACAGGCACAGATCCCTCAAGCATGTTGAATCTAGAAGCTCTTGTTGAACTCACGCCCAGCCACAAAAAGACACCCTTGACAACACACGTGCACTGGGAAATTGAGTGCAAATTTCAAAAAGTCAGATTTATCCACTTAAAGTAATTTTTTCCATCTTAAAATACACATCTAATTACATATATCGCTCTTTTAAAAAGATATATACATATACATATATACACACATATATATTTAAAGTCTTCAGAAATTGGGAACAGAACTGCATTTAGAAATTATTTTATCAGCTTTTACAAATATCTGTGGAATGGGATATTTAGGGTAGCACTAACCTGTAACTGCATTACCAGAAAAACAATGCACAAGCTTTTAATGATAAGTACCTTTTAAAAATCCAAGAGTAATTTTTGGATATGCCAGCTGGTGACAAATGAAAGTATTTATTTCACAAGCATGGCACTGAGGTCCTTTGGTGAGCTAACCAGATGCTGAGCTGAAAATTCAGCCACCAGCACCCAGGCAGTGACAGCACAGGTTTACATTTGAGTTCTTATCTTTGAGTTTATCAAATCTCAACTCTTCTGTAACTGTTCTTCATTTGTAGATTTTGAATTGGTGAGGAACATAGCTAAAAAGTTGGTTTATCAAGGAGGGAAATAAAGAGGTTATTCAGTCCATTGCTCTAACCATAGGCCAAGTTGAAATACAGCTAAAGGCTTCCTGGCTGATTTTTGTCCAATGTCTTGTTCAAAGCCTGCTGTGGTGGAGAAGGTAACATTCAGATGACCTATGTTGCTAACTCCCTTTCCTTTATTACTTTGGTTACACACACAAACAAACATTACCCGCAACTGCACAGGTGATGAAACAGGGACGAGCTGGTGAGGCGACCTGCTTGATGTCACATGTAAGAACAGCAGATAAAAAGAATCTACCCGGTCATTCTCAAACTGTTTTATTATAGAACGTTGTCCTCTGTGATCTTTAATTTGGAAATATCCTGAAGCCCCTTGCCTGTTACGAGTTTCGCATTCCCAGCACTAATTCACAGCCATCTCTGGGGTGTAACACAGCCAGTATTTAAAAGCAGTTCAACACTGCTTGGGGTGACAGAAGGAAAAAAAAAATACTGTGAACCTGGTGGAAGAGGTTCAAACAAAGTTTAAGTAGAAAAATGCAACTGGCCCAGGATGTGATTAAATCAGAACAGTAGGAAGGATCAACAGTCTTTAAAGACACAGTTTTGTTATTAATCTAAAGGACTGAAATAATACAGTAATTTGAAAAAATGGTTGTGGATGTGCTCCTAGCACAATGTACGTTGAGATAACTGACACCAGCTCAGATAATACTATCTGTTGAACTGCCACCTCCATTCCTGAAGTGCTTGCATCTTTCTAGGTTCTTCACACAAAGAGGCTTCGTTCTATTCAGTTTGGGATATACAGCCAGCCTCCTCCAAAATGGGACATGAGAGGCTTCACTGCTTTAGCATATTTAGCATGTAGTCTCCGCAACATAAGGAAAACAAACCATAAATATAGATGTACCTAAGTGCTTGGACTACAGCTAGAGTGTGAGAGAAGAGATGGGACTTGCCTTCAGATCGGTTCAAGATGCTAATCCCTCTCTCCCCTACTCGAGAGATTAATAAAGATATTACACGGAAGGGAAGCAAGGGGGTAGGGAGAAGTTTTCAAGACAAAGGAAGGAAATTAAGTACCTGTAATTTGTCAGAGATAAAGCAGAAAGTTTGTGTGCGCATGCGAACAGGTTATGCTGTTAGCACATTCCAGTGATAAGTTATATACATCAAGACTATAAAAAGTATGTGGAAAAGACAAAAGCCTATTAGATCCCAGGAGCGAAAGGTAGAAGTTGGTTGTGGGGTTTTCTCCCCGAGGGCGAGCAGAGTGTCAACAGTCTTTCGAATGTGACGAATATCCGACTGCAGGATGTCATACGGAGAGCAGAGGTCAGCCTATCCCGAAGGGCAGCCATTAGAACAGAAAAAAACAGTGCATAAAATTAAAAATACAAAAATATAAAGAGTTTGATAAATAACGTATCACAATATTCTAGCTTAAATACGTAGGACTAGTTTTTTTTCTAGTATTGTCTTAAGTTACTAGACAAACCAGCTTTCTTTTGTTTCCTTTATACAGTAAAGCTATCATAAAATACATAGAAGAAGTAAATCCTTCCAATCTTTCCAAAATGATGCCCAGATCCACAAGGGTGAGGAGGTGTATAAAAGTGCCTTATTTCACTGAGTTGTGCACACCTTTGTCCATCTGGGCCTTACCCTTATTCCAATGCTTACGTGGAACCAGTTGTAAAATGTCATTCATACAATAGCAAATGGTGGGTTAGAAAGCTGTTAAAAGCACAAGCAGCAGCAGTAGGAAGTCCCAGGAAAAAAGCACTTAAAGATATTTAAAAGCATGTAAAATTCTCTAACAAACATATAACTCCAAGCCTCCCATTCAAATATCATCTTAAATAATGATATCCTGCAATAGGAATTGAAAAAAATCGGTGACTGGCTATAGTCAATATAAGTAAAATTGCTCAATTGAAGAGGTTGACTCTAGAACTCCTTAGTTAGGTTCCTATATTAACATCCCCCACAATATGAAGGAGTTCACGTAGCAGTTCAGAGATACACAAAATGGTGATATGCAAAACTACCAATATGCATACATGATATATAACTTTAAAATCAAATCGAAAAAATGCTTCTAAAGTACAGTAACCTAAATACAGTAATAATCTAAGATATCACTCCATCTAATATTATAAATAAGGCTTCATTCTCATCGAAAGAGATCAAAAGTTATAAAATAAAAACTATACAAGGTAGGAATCATTTTGCATGACAATAAATGAGGACAGACATGGATGTTCGGGTGTCTACTGTCTATTGCTATGAAGTTTCAAGGTCCACTTTACAATAATTTTACCATTTAAAATATCTAAAAAGCTCTTCTGTCCTGAAGAGTGACTGCTGAAACCTGCAGACAGTTCAGTCATTCATACACAAAATAAAAACGACTCTGCTTACCATTCTTGTTTCTGGTTTTAATAGGAGTTTCAAGCAGCAACATTTATCTTTATTACTTAACCCAGTAGATATGAACCCAGACATGAGCACGGGGTGGGAAAACTCCTGCTTAGCAACAGCACTTCTATCTTTACAGTCACTTTTCAAAATATCCTCATCTTGCTTAAGATCTGAATAGGATTAGCACTAGATTTTTAAAGAATATCTGCACATGCAAGACGCTTATCAGAGAAACTAATTGCAGGGCAAAACGTCACCGTTCAGAACTTAACCTTCATCTACGTAAATATATATTGCACTTCTGCTAGCGACAGTAATAAACATAATAAAAGCTGCATTCTTTTTAAAATGTCATACCAAAGAATCATTTCAGACTTGTCACGAATGTATCTCAAAGGAGATAATCACAATGTATTTAACTGAAATAATTTTTCCTGATATGAAAACACCACCTCTAAAAACAGACCTTATTGCAGTCAGATGGAGAAGGAAGTAGTTTTCCAAGTTAGAGAAAGGTAACCCCAGCTGGTAGCAGGTTTAATGTTCACGGAGGGTGAGGAAATTGCTGACCAGATATCAGCAGACTAAGCAGTATCCCAAGAAGCCAAAGCACACAGAACCAGCCAACACGTACGAAAAGCTGCCATGCCATGAGATTCAGTGAAACCAAGGGAAGCCTAAGGAATTGCTGACTTTTTTGCTTATTTTTGGCTCTTCTGCACCAGTAGAAAACTTGCTATTATATTCTCACTTTAATAGGTAAAATGTTTACAGTATATATATATATATATTGAACTTCTGTAATGGAATCCAAGTCCATTTTAAACTTTTCAGAAATAGTGGAATACATTCCCATTTTAACTACCAAAGTTTCTTCAGTTGTCAAATGAAATTTCCAAACTAAACCCATGACATAGCAAAACACTAAAAATTTGAGCAAAGTTACCCTAGCATGAAATAAACACCCCAAAGCCTCCAAAAGGGGTGAGGAAAAACAAAGCAAGACAAACTAAAAGCCCCCAGCAGTGCAGGAACAAATGCAGTCTGAACTGCCTGTGTTTGCAAAGCACAAGTGCAAGGGCCCTCACAATTACGACATCAAGTTCTCCAACAGACAGCACAGAATCAGACTGGTTGAGGTTGGAAGGGACCTCTAGAGACCATCCATTCCAACCCCTGCTCCAGCAGGCACACCCAGAGCACGGGGCACAGGGCGGCATCCAGGAGGGTTTGGGAGATCTCCAGAGAAGGAGACTCCGCAGCCTCCCTGGGCAGCCTGTGCCAGGGCTCTGGCACCCTCACAGAGAAGCAGGATGAATCGCTCGCTCCATAGGGTAGGCCATAGAGGGTATGTACATCACCAAGGGCAGAGTGAAGGGGTGAAGGACGACGTCGTGCACAACAAAACTTACTGCAACTGTGGGAAGCCTCAGGGTGCAACTAGGAAGAGTAACTCGTTATGTGAACTAACTGGAAAACAAGAGTGGGTGGCAATGGAAATATACCTTTTATTAAGCTGAGGAACCACATTACCTGTTGAATAACTAGTAGCTGGGTAGAAGATAAAGGACTTTACTCGACACACTGTGCTTGCTTGCTTCTTCTACTATGTTCTAGCAGTTTTAGCACCACCAGGAACCTGCTGTTTTTCTTTGTTGTTGTTTATGTTCTACTTAATGGCAATTCTGACCTTAACACAAGCCACACTGGGCTTACAGATAATTTTTGCCTCACACTCCAACATTTTGGAGTCATCTTTCAAAGGCAGAGGCGAGATGTCATAGTGACTATTTGCAGGATTTCAGAGCCACAAGGATGGTCATGGCTAAGCCTTTGTAAGCTGAACCTTCAGAAGATGATTTGAGTCCAAGAAAGCCACTTCTTACCATCTCCCTTCTGTTTTACGTACATGTCTCTACTGTGAGCACTTGACTGAAATGACAATTTCTGGTAGGCCAAATTCATTCAGTAATTGGGAACTGGAGGAAACATAGACCAATGCTTGCAAAACATTCACTTTCCAAATCACACTTTGAGTTTATACTTTCTTTGTGTTTGTCTAATTCTCACCAACGTAAATCAGGGAATAGATGCCCCAGAACATTTTTAAGTAGAACAGCAAGCAACTTTGCTCCAATTAAAAATGTTATGCTCATGTTTGCAATAAGTAATATTCAGTCCACTGCAAATTAGCTGATTAGCGCAAATTAGATTTTTTTTTCCTTTTGACAAATTATACAAGTATGTACAAAAAAAGGCTGTTGCTTGGATTACCAGGGATAGCAGCTGCCAAGAATAAAAGCCCAAACTAGTAATATGCAAGTTAAGATGGAAAAGCATTTTGCCTTACCACTAACATGCATGCTAATTCTAATTTGGCAGGTGATAAAAATGGCACTACGCTTTCAGAATAAGTGAACAATTAGTTCATTTTCCTCTTATGACAAAGAAATGTTATGTAAGTATTGTTCTCTTTCATTACATGGTTGTTAGCTTTACGGAAGGGCAGTTGAGACCAAAATACTTCCATCATGTTACATACATAATCATAAAATAACTATTCAGGCACTCCTTATCATTTTTAATAGTTTCAGGATGTCACTATGAAACATAAAATCACATTAGCACGGGCACATTTGACATCTCAGGGACTACCATTAAAACACAGAAGGAGGAACACAAGTCAAAACGTAGCTTTATTTTTTAAACCCCCAAAGCACTGAGAGGGCAAGTGCCCTAAAGGTGTTTTGGGTAAGTCAGGAGAGCTGAGAGGTTGGTAATGGGATCATAGGACATCAACAACCTACTTCAGGGAACCTCCCCAGCCTCGTGTGACAAGAACTCTGCTGTTGCCTTTTTTATGAAAGAGCCAGAGCCAGTCTTAAAACACATCTAGCCTGTTCCTTCTGCATATGACCAGGAGAATTACAGGCTATCAACAGAAAAGGCTTTCCACGTCACCCACAAGTTCTTTTGCTTTGCTTCCACACTCAAAATCAGCTGGCACACAACATTTCTGAATCATCTACCCATGAGGCCATTAGAAAGATGCTCCTGTTCTTGAGTTCCATATTTGTGACTCTTAGGTAAAAATGCCAAGGCCTGAGACTTACTGTGGCATACCTGGATATTGAAGCCTACCCTATATTCTATACTTGCAGAAATTTTCCCAGGATTCTTCTGGGAAAACCATTTTTGACCCAAGAACTGAATGCTGAAAGCAACTGGAGAGACTACATCTGCATAATAGTTCGTACAGTAATTTTCTTGTTTTATGGGATCTCACAGGATACTCTTTTAAATGTGTGGAATTAGAGGAATAACCTGCACTTGGTCTTCTTCCACAAGTAACCCAACTAGACTGACAGAAACGACGAGGTTTCTAAATCCTTGCCAAAACTGTGCAGTTGAATATGCAAGTAATTTTCAAGAAATAAGCATGGAGGTAAACATGACAACAGAAATCTTTGGATCTGCAGTGGAACCTATCACTTTCCCACAAGATCCTTATTTGGAAATGGAAATCACTCTATTTTTGCTGCATTCTCCAGAGGTATCTGGGTGAAGCAACATTTGGTCTGAAGCATCAGCAAATGCATGACCTGCAGTTCCTTACAAACCTTCCAGGATGCCTCCTCTGCTAGTTACTCCTATTAAATAAATAAATAAATAAATAAATAAATAAATAAATAAATAAAAATAACAATAACTCACCATCATGCAACTTTAGGCTCCTAATATTCTTTCCCTTCAACTTGCAGCAATATTTAACCTTCCAGCTCCTAGTTCTGCAGCATGACAAGTTTTCACAACATCTAACATAATTTACCCATTGCCAACAGCTGGGCAGGAAGAATATCCCCAGACTATTCACAATTAGCAATTGCAAGTGATTCACTCAGTGTTTAAATAAATGAGTTTTTCCCTCAAGAGACTTAGAGTTATATTTACAAAGTTCAAAATTTTATAAACAAGGTTAGCCTTTGCTTGTGTGTAATTTTGCAATATACTTTAATAAAATGCAAAGCCAGCTATAAAAATTTTACACATTTTACTGAAAGTTGTTAAGAAGGAGGAAAAATAAAAGCAAGAATAACATGAATTCATAGAAGAAAGAAAGATATTCTTCTAGAAAGCATATTTATAGAAATCATTACAAGAAAATTCAGACAACTCAATTAACTCTCTATAATATGGCACTGAAAGGAACTCTTCATACACTTTCCTGTTTTATTTCCATTTCCAAAAGACTTCTATAAAAACCACCACTCTTTACTTCTCTCCCAACAGCCTCTATCCAGAAAAAAAAGGTTTTTTTTTCTGAATAAATACTGTGCTTCAAAAGACAGGATATTTTGGGCAACTCAAATACTCTCTGCACCTACTTTGCCTATAACACCAGAGCACAGAGAGAGATTTTTTGATCTTCTCTGAAATCAAATGTTATCTATCCTATGAATCCATTCTAACACAATAAATTACAAAACTACAACAATTAAATCAACCATTAAAACTTAGAGGCCCAATCCATATCACCGCTCCAACTTGAATTTCACTTTATGACTCATGCATTTGGATTGCAAGAAAAACATATTTTCCTGACACCATGAGAGTAAATTAGACATCAGTAAGTGCTGCCATTCTTAAATATAAGATAAGACAAGACCAAGCATTATGGCTCTTCCCTGCCTCCAACTTGTGAAACGCTGATTTTTCCATTATAGAAGAAACTTGCTCATCATGTACATCCCATAGCTAATGCACAGAAAACGGTCACCTGCAGATCAGTGCAAAATCATTTCAGTACTGACATGAGCACTGCTTGGTGCTTTTGCAAAACATACTATAAAGTACTTAATAAAATACAAAAAGAAGTCCATATTTAAAACAAATGAAGTCCATATTCTAAAAGCAATGGATAGAAATGCAGTTATAATACACAAGGAAAAAATAAGTGATCTTTTACCTAATATGTTATCTGATTACCAGATTGCTTAGTTGTTTTCCATAGCAAATATAAGGAAATACTGGGAATAAAAGTGAATTATTAGCTTAAGACAATTTTAACATGCTATGAGATCAAACAGTAAATGCAATGAAGTGCTAAAACATATTATGTAGATTCATTATTTTATATTACATACCCTTACTGTTAAAAATACTAGTTCATAAAATAATCCTTCAGCTTTAAAATAACTTATGAGCTTTATATTTTTGATCATTTAAAAATGACAGTCTTAATTTAATTACCTCTGGTATCCCCAGTTTTCTACATGCATCCAGAAAGTTTTCCACATTTCTCCTGCATTTGGCCATGCTAAGTTTAGGCTGTAAAGATTAAATGCAAAATAAGTCAGTAACATTTAGAGCAAGTTTCCTCTTCATGTTCCCTTTTTCCCCCTAAATAATAACGCCACTTTTTTTTTAATCCAGTAATAAAACCTAAATTTCACTCCAGAAATTGAAGTTTGTATATTTTGGCAATGTCACATTCTTAATCAGACAGAAGTCACTTAAAACCAAACAACAGCAAAAGAAACTTCTCTAAGCCATCTCAGAAAATATCTTTTTCTTAACCTCTGTCTTCTTGGAAGCTCTCACATATTACCTCTGAAATCCACAGTCCAGTCTCATAACTGAACATCAGGATGTAGCTGACAAATATTTGCCCATATGGATATTTAAAAAAACCAAACACACAAAACACCCTCTCAGAACCAGACTGACATTAGAAATTTGAACAAAGTCTCAATTAGGTGAAGACATCTACAAACACAGATGGAATACTATGAATATTAAGTTTCAGGAATCTTCCAGGTCCTTAAGTGTGATAAGCCAGTGTCACATCACTATGGCAGATATTTCCCTTCTATTCTGTCTTCAGTAAAGCAGAACCTCCTCTACATTTAACAAGAGAAGAATATCCTAATAAGTGGGACTACAAAGTCATACACTGTTAAGCCTTATATTTTTATCATTAAACAAGGGACTGATATTTTTAAAGGATATCCTATAATAAAATACTGTAATCACAGAATTGAATATTGTGCCAAAAAAGGTCCTTATGAAAAAAAAAATCCCTATTTTTATTATGTAAATTTAAATTTGTACTAATCAAGAGTGACCCTTAACCATCAAGAGCATTCACAAAACAGCACCCCACTTTATATAACCAAGTATCATGTGGAAATGAAACTTTTTTTTAAACCAGTCCTCCTCCAACATTCAACTTACTACTGCTGGTGACGGTACATGAATACTTCCTACAGAACGAGGACGAACGTGATTTACTAAATGGCAAAGAACTACGCCATCCATCAGAGCAGACCCCAGGTCTTCAGGCAAACAAATCTTTAGTCTTGTTTCTATGTTCTGAAAAGGAAAAAGAAGTATACATTTTAATACAGAAACAAGGAAAGAAATTAAAGAGCAGCAAATAAATACCCAAACCAGCAATTACATATACCCCCATCTTCTTCCAGACTGCTAGGCATGTATCAAGTTTTGGTATATGAAGAAAACCACTTGTTTTCTCATATAAATATTTCTTTAAAAGATAAAAAAAAAACCCTATACCTATCCCTATGTTGGTCACTGAATTTATTCGTTTAAAAAACCTCATCACTTGAAATGCTGGAGTCATAATATGCATATATTTTGATATATTCATATAAAAAGCACAAATACATGTGAGCAGCCATGGTGACTGTACTACACCATGTGTAGCTCCTTCCTTTCACCATTCTTCCAAAACTTCTACTCATCTATCTCAAAACTTCCTTTATCTTCCTAAGCATTTAAGTGTCTTCCAGTAAACAAAAGAGGACAATGAGTGTTTCCTAAACTGGGCTCCAATCTCGAACAGCCCTGTCTTTCAGCTTCTGCCTTGATGCCTGAACTGTGGTCAAACTTCTTACAAGAAATGAGAACTTTCATTTCAATGTTCATGGAGAATTTAGGAGTGGAGTGGAAGGGAGGATACAGCATGTAATTCAAGGTCAAAATAATTAATCCAGTATTACCAGTATTATCTAGTATTAATAGAGTGAAAAGAGATCTTGATCATGTTTGACGTGGTGATTAATCTTGTTCTGCTTTGTACTGAGAGGATTACCTGTACTAACAAACAAGGATACTATTTTTAGGAACAATTGGGACTTGCTATGCACTTGTGATAACTATTAAAATAAACATAAAAGAAACTTGTATTGAGGCTGCTGACTAGATTATGATCACAAGAATGATGCTAACAGTTTGTTATTGTTCTTTCCATCTTCTTTTCCAATATTAGTAAGTCTATCTCTTCTAACTCCTACACAGTTTCCTTTTGGTTTTATCTGAGCTGGTAATCAGTAATATGCCATATTCACTCAACTTCTCTGAAACTTTAGCAACATCTGTGCTGTGCACAAAAAAATCATCAAAACAAAGTTTGGTTAATTTAGGTATTAAACAGAGATGGGCTCAAGGCAAAATAATGGAGATGTAAAAGTCTTCACAGTTCTATGCTAAATGAAACTCCTTTTAAATGCTATTTGGTAAGGACAAAAGTGAAACCTCTTGCTTCAAAAACAAATAATGCAAAACATTATTTAAAAGCCAAATAACTTTGAAACTGGTCATTCCATCAAGCTAAGAATGAGCAATCCCAGCTGTGATATCGAAGTCTCTCACTACACTTTCAGGGTGGGTACTGCATTTAGCAGCGTGGCTACCTCAGGCCTTCTTCACCGCGCAACAGATCTCCACAGGTCCAGGCTCACAACATTCCTTGTCATAAAGGTTACATCTTCCTTTTGACACAAAGAGGGGTCAAACAAATAGGGCTACTTAAGTATTAGATGTGTAACACCTCCCCTATAGGGGAGGCACACAGCTATTTCTTCATCAGGGCCTAGTTTCTACAAATATGAGACAATATTTCTGGTATTTGCAGATCTTCAAGTGATGAAGTATTCTTTTCATTTCAGCTATTAACTACTTCTACAAAAGTGCCTAATTTTGTCATATTTTTCCAGTTTCTGCTCCTAATAATTTGTTATACTTTTTACTTGGTAGATTTAAGACTTCTCCAGCTGCAGAAAACATTTTCCAGCTCTCCACCAACTCTCCCAGAAGAAGATTTGCTTTTAAACTCTATGTAGTCAAGGTGGCTCTATCCCACCGTATGTTGCCATTTTTACAACAGCCATTACAGTATAGTCAGCATATCTGATTTGGCTAAAGCTCTTCAGAAATCGCCTCACAAATCACAAATGTGATTTGCAAAAATATATTGTTTCATTTTCTTATTTCGTATTTTCCTAATTATACAACCTCTCCAATGAAAAAAAAATTAAACATATATACTCTGAAAACTGCATATTCTGCCAGCATCTGCGTACCTCACGTAGCTGTTCCACAAGCTCTCTCTCTTCTCTCATCTGCTCCATTTTCCTTCGAATTGTAAATTGTGGGTCTATTGATTCCAAATTTCTCTGTGGTCTTAAGAACACTATGATTAAAAAAAGAAAAAAAAAAGTATTTTAATTTAAGAACTGACCCCAGCAAAACAGTTTACAAAACTTCTCTGTCCCCAGTATGTCAGATAGATCCAGTCTTGGACTGCAGTCTAAAACTGTATTTTCTGAATATTTCTCTGAACTGCATCATATATTATCAAAGGAGTATATATTATACACTCTTTATATATATATGTATTATCTTCTGTTCTTGACAGGCAAATTTTGTCAGATAATTAAGCACTATTATTGACTTTTAGAGATTCTGATCTGTAGAAAAGTGCCTCCAACATGTGAGGAAGTAACTCACTCCAACAAGATGCTGAGTTGTGTAACTAGCTGCAACATGCATCTTCCTAGGCATATAAATATAAATAGCACCATTGAAATGCTAGACATGTCAGAAGTTTTTATTCAGGTGTTGTTTTGGGTAATAATGAGTATTTTTTGTTGCTGTTTTTAAATCAGTCTTCAAAATATGCAAAAAAAATTTTTTTGAAGTCTTGGCAGAAGTGTTCCCACAGAAAGTAAACTTGTTTATGAAGCCCCCCCAATCAGTCGAGGGCAAACATATAAAAACGTAACCTCTCGCATCAAAGACTCTGAGGAAACAAGTAGATTTTCCTGTGCAGAATTTCCCTGAATTCTCAGGCAAGTCTACTCATTAGGCCTTTTTTAAAATACAGGTGGGTTGGTTAAGCAACAAAATGATTAATCTGAGTTAGTTCTCCAGCCCAAGGGAAAGAAATGCAGGCACTGAGTGCTTTGTTCCTCATTTACTACAGAGGAGCTTATGGAAACATGCTCCTGACTTATCCTTACAGACTGAGGCAACAAGACAGAATAAATTTTGGCCAGAGTTACGAAACTTGCTTCCTTCTCCTGCTTGATGCACACATAACTTTCCATATGGAATTGAAACTTGCTGTGTTAAGCCTATTTGCTAAACGGGTTTTAAATAGAACAACCCAAATATTACAGTTTTATGTTAGTAAAGTTTATGCTTTAGTCCTTAACATCACCAACCCCACCACTGGCCCAGTGGCCGAGTTTCCTGGAGAGACTGTGCAGGACAAGTACCAGGAATGACAGCAGCTCAGCCCTCCTCTCCAGCCAGACTGCAATATGGTGTAACCAGAAATATCAAAAACAGTACTTATCAAATAACACTTAAGACAGCTACAATGCAAATAAAATCAGCTCCCAACTTTTCTATTGAACTTAGAACAACATTGGAGTTTAATGTATTCCCTTACATGAGTAATTCTGTTTATAGAAGACTGCTTCCAATTTTATGTTTATAAACATCTCTTACCACATTTATTAAAAATACTTGTTCCAATATCTAAGTAAAGATTTTCATTCTAGAACTAGTTGAATGTGCAACTATAGAAATTTAGCTATGGTTTCTCTCACAGATAAAATTTTTAGATAAAAACGTACTTGACCAATATTTAAATGGTGTTAATAACCTCACTGCAGTATGCTTATCAGCAGCAACACTTCACATAATTCTCTATAAAAATCATTACTTCATATTTATGTTCTATTTAGCAAGCAGGGCGGCATATGGCCTTCATTCAGTCCAGCCTTAGTTATCCTTCCTTGGACTTTTGCTAAGTCAGTGCTTATGAGTGTCTTGAGCAGGGCTCAGATTCCGGGCTCCAAAAATCTGCTAATGAAAAGAAAAATGTTCCAGCCCAGGAGGTTTTGGCAGTGCTCACTATTGATGGTTTCTCTGCATTACACATGTTTTCCAGCAAGGGGAGCCCATCTCACACAAACGTTGCCCTGAAGGCCTCATTGCCCTTTTTTTGGGGTAGAAGTACAGAGTTTCTGCTTTAGGAACTTATGTCCGGTCAACCCAGGTTGTAAGATAATACCCATTCCAATATTTTTAAAGAATACTTTACGCATGCCTTGATTAGTTAAATGGGTAAGAATTAGTTACACATTTATATTCTATATATTACAATAAAAGACAAACTTCCTTGCAAAAAAATATTTTTTGCACTTGGTTACAGCACAAATCAAGGAATACTTTATTTGGCACTGTTAGGTAGACAACTTAAAGATCTAACCTGCATCTACAGGTACTTCACAATAACAAAAAGCTGGACTGATGGCAGGTGAATACAAAGTGAAGAAGAAAGTCTATAGTAATATTTCACTCTGATGTACTTAATGCAAATTAATGTAAATAATATTAAATTCCATATATACAACAATTTGTTAAATAAAATATGTCCCAGTGGTACAGACGGTAGTCCTGGGAGATGTGCCAGATGAGAGCCTTAGCCTCTCTCAGAAACTCTGGGTTTAAGTCTTTCCTAATACCCAGAACTACAGCTTGATAATTACACCAAGATTATGAAGTTTTGGGCTACTGCAGGGATTGATGGTGTTTCTGCTTGAAAGGCTGCACCTGCAAGGCCCACGGGCAGGCCGATGGGTCGGAGCAGAGGCCTGTGAACCTCCATGCTCCGAGGCCAATGCTCCGGGCATGGTTTTGGTCCGTGCAAGCGGCCTCTCCTCTGAACAATGTCCGAGCACAGCTCAGGGAATAGCACAGGCCAAGGACATTCCCAAAAGGCAGCTTTGAAGGCAGCCATCCTGTTTTGGAAAGCAAGAGTGTCGAGGTGTTTGTGTCATGCTGTGCCAACTAACCTCCGTGCCAGGGAACAGCCTCTGGTCCTTTTTACTTCCTAGTTCAGATATAAACGTAGATAGCAAACTTGAAATAAAAAGGGCAACAATGTTTTTTAAAGAATTTGTTAAAGCTATTTTTGTTGTAAAAGTTTAAGGCAACAAACACTAATATTTGCATTTGGCTTAAAATATAAGTGACGTGAAAGATCTACCTGTTCCAAATGAATATGCACACACCAGTATATACTGAGATCATTTTATTCACAGAAGTAAAACAGGGGCCAATCTGGAGTAACACAAATCTTGTTGTTTACTGAACTCATTTTAAAATATAACTAAGCTAAAGGATGTATTGCCAACTGGGATAAGCTGGTGTAATTCCACTGGAATTTATAGAAGAATTATGACAACATGCAGGTTTATTTTTCTGTTTATGAACAGGAGACTTACAGTCTCTTCTGCTAAGAGGAGAAAAATAAATTAAAAAAAAAATACAGCTGGTTACAGAAAAGCATCACTTTCAAAGTCAGGCTGCCACAACATAATTTGTTAACACACATACAACTTAATGCAGACTAAGTACCACACCTTTTTTTTTTTTTTTTAAAAATATACCAAAAACAGCTGCTTGAATTTTAAAGGGGAAAGTGTAATCTTGTTAATCTAGAACTTGCTGAGCAAAATAGCCTTCCAGGATAATTTTCACTCTACTGTATGTCCTTAGCTTTCCTGTAACAAAAGCTCCACTAATGTACTTCCTTCTTATCTGTTAGAGAATTTTAAAATTATATATAGACACTATTTACAGTATTTTAAAATTTTGATCACTGAAGAAACGCAACAGTGAAATAACTCTAAAATGAAAACATATTTCAAATGTTGCAAATATGGTACTGAAATTATAAGGCTTTTATAATGACTTTTTTTTCCTCTGAAACAACTTTTTGTATGTGGGGGAATGTTTTAGTTCAACTTCAAGATACAATTTCTATACCTTATACATATGTTTCTTATTTACTTCAGTGAGTCTGTGAACTTCTAAGATTACTTCTGCAATTACTAGAATCACGAGCAGAGGGAAAAAGAGCCCCTGCTAAAATATAGAATAAGCTGTGGGCTGTCTTCTGCCTACATATTACCCTAAAAGTATTCTATGTTTTTCTTTTTAGGACTTCAAAGACTAGCAGAGAAGAAATCTGTGACCTCTAAGAAGTTTGGTGACTGGAAAATATATTTTAAAGCTTTAATTAAGATTGTGTAGACAAGGCTTAGCAGCTTAGCATTTGCATTTTATTTCCAACCAGGAAATTCTCGATAGACTTGACCAGACTTGAAAGTAGTGGGGTATAATAAAAGGGTAAAGGACCTCAGTAGTTTAAACAATTACATTAGCAGACTGTAAATGCTGTTGATTATTTCTAAAAACAAATCAGTCTGGAGAAAGGAATGTAGGAAAAATACACTATAAAATCAACTCATAAAAGTTATTTATGAACTGACCAACATTTCACGAAGAGGGAAAACACTACCTAAAAGAGGTAAGATGTCTGACTACTCTATATTACAAAGTTATACTGAAACAAAATAATAGAAAATACCTTCAGTTCTTGTTAACAATTATTCAGACACAAATAATTTAAAAATTAGAAAGCTTTTTGGTTTTTTTTCTCCCCTTCAGCAATACTCAGCCTGCCACTGCTTTCCAGCCAAGGTGAGCATTCAGATGCTCTAAGAGATGAACCTGTCCTTGCTCCTTCCCTAACCATTTCATGTGTTGAAGAGTATCGTTTTTGATATTTCTCTTAAGGTATGCTCCATATCTTAAGATTTTATCATATGGTGTATGGACAAAGGAACAGAATTTGCTGTATCAGGAAAACATCAGAACCAGAAAGCCTTCCCAGATCTGTTTAAGTGAAGAAAGCAAAAGCAAAGCATAGCAGAAACAGCACTTAATATGTATAAAAGCCTTAATCCAATCTTATGCTTATTTAAACTGCAGACATAAAAGTGTAAAGAAAATCTGGTTCAACAATCTCCAAGATAACTATTCGATCAACTATGATCGAAAAAAAACATCTAAAAGCATCTCACCCTTCAAAAAGGATCTTATACGACAGCCTCAGAAGCCAGACAAGTGGGAGTACTTGGTGTAAAGATGACTAGAAAGGACAGATTTCTTCTACAGTCTGCTTCTACAGTACCAGTATAGTCAACAGGAAAATCACAGATTCAACCTCTTAGCATTCTGAACACCTGCAAGGCCATGCTTTACCTCTTTTTGGTGCAATTTTTATTTTGGCAGATGAATACTAACCTAATGGATGGATACTAAACTTGTTTGTTCTGGGCTGCCAAAATTCTTTAAATCATTGAGCACTCATCTGTCACACTGTATTTTAGCTGCAATCTTGACTGTTATCTGTGCTGCCTGGGCCTCGAGGCTCCTGAACGTGACCCCACAACACACAACGTTGTCAGGTTAAAGCGTAAGCAGCATTTGCTGGCAACACAAGCACAGTCTGACAATCTGCTGCTGATGAGAAAGCAAATGGGCTACCAGGGAACTGTAAATGGCTTCTCAAAATTGGCAGTAGCATTTTTGACTTTACACGTATAAAATGTTCTTAACTTTTATGATTATGTTTTCATTCATAACATTTATGATACAGAGAATGCTATGTTTCTCATCCTATTTCTTAGACAAGAAAGAATTTGCAGAAGTGTTGGTTTCCTATGATAATTATGCTTTGCTGAGCTGACTTAGTAAAATTCTCAATAGCTTTTGCATCAGAAAAATACAGTATTAAGTCCAGCAAAATTCATGATGTCTCGATTACCTGAACTGCCAACAGGATAGTGCTGGTAGAAAAGATGTGTATTAGCCAAAATGAAGGAGGAAAAAAAAATAATAGGAATAAAGAATATACTGATTGATTTTTTTACCTGAAACAAACTAGTTTTGGAAGATCCAACTACATATTGACTTTATTTTTTAACTTTTATCTTGACATATTGCAAACAAAGTGCTGCATCAGAAGCCTCATTTTTTTTTTTTTAACCTGTCCCTCTGCCCTGACAGACTATTCATCTGGGAAACATCAAGTTCACTTAGTGCCATCATGGCAGGAAGATTCAATTTTCCAACTTATTTTTATCACAGACTTTGAACATCGTGTACTCCTTTCCTTTACTGGGCATGTGTCCTATCTATAAAAACCATTTCCTGGTTTTATAACCAAGGGGCAAGAGCAATGAACCAAACTAATAATGTAGGTATTCTACACTAAATGTAGGCTTTTATTACCAAGGATTTCTTTTCTTGGTTTCAATCTGATGATTTACATTCATTCCAGTTTTGGGGCATTTCATTGCCTTCCAGCACCTCAACACCATTCTATTTTGGCACAACTGCAAGAACAGTAGTTGGACTGAAAATATATAGTACATCTATGTATTAAATATTTTAAATGGTTTGTCTGGTTTCTGTTTCTTCTACCTGACATTTAGTTATTAATTAAACCCCAACAGCTGAAATATGGTCAATTTTTCTCTTCCTTTTGCATTTTGTATCAAGACTCAAACAATGATATTGGAGAAAAATAAAACCAAGCAAAAGCAGCAGCCACGTCCATCAGTGTATCTGGGTTCAGGAGGCACAGAGAAGCTTGACAGATTGCTAACAGTTGTTGAACAGACACCACACTTTTTCCTTATTTGATTTGTTTAGCTTTGTTTCTGACCCATGAAGCACTGACTTCATGGCTTCCTTTTGTAATTAAACTAATTATGCACTTGCATCAATAACTGCGCTTGGGAACATGATGTTTTAATTAACAAAGTCAGTATTGATCAATAAAGTCATTAATGTAAAATGCATTAATAGTCTAAAAACAAAGTTAACTGATGTCTGACCATGCCTTTAACAAGCTTTAAAGTTAAAACAAATAAATACACCTGCACTGGAAGCAGTTTGAGGATTGGGTATCATGGGAAAGCTGTTTTGCCAGAGCTGAAGACAGTGACACTCCTTGCACATTTATTTTTAATTGTACATATTCTACAGTAAATGAACACACATCCACTGAGGCATTGGTCTTATCAAACATTCCCTGAGAGAACAGTCTTTCCTCCCTAGTATCCTTGGTCACAGTGGCAGTATATTTGTTTTTCTCAAAGCATAAAATGAAGTAAATGTTTGCAGAGCACCTACCATTGTCACTGTCTCCTTCAGAGGGGATACTGTAGCTATAGCTGTCCCATGTTTGTGCCTGTGTAAGTGTGTTGAAGGAGATAGGAGGAAGAGTGAGGGATGGCTCTGCTTGGAGGGGAGTGATACCCAGCCCAACCATGGGAGTATCGGACCAGGAAAAGAAAAACAGTCGGGAGAGGGGGCGGCAGCATTTCATATGTGGCATTAGGATTGTATGGTAACGATGAAGATGCAGTTCAAAGATGATTAATACAAATTTTTTTGAAGAAAAGAATGAAATATGATGCAGAATAAAGAAAAGTTAGATGTTAGTACTTGCAAGTCATATATTACATGTGCAGTTAAGTGTCATAATCTTAACATAACCATAGCATTTCATATAACTTTTCACCATCAAGTTTTAAGAAAAAGTACCCATAGATTTTACATTGTAGCCTAAAGAAAAACTTGACTGTGTGAATCAATATCTGAATGTCAGCTGTGAAGTTGCAGTAATTAAAACAAAAACTTCAGAAACTTAAGTCTTAAGACTTTAGTTATACGCTGTAGCTTCAAAAGAACATATTTTCCTTAACCAAAGATAAATATGTCCAGATGAAAATATTCCCACACTGTAATTTACTACCTAATTTTAAGAAGTAGAAGCTGCATTATCCCTTGGATTCTCCTTCTATTTGAAACATGCTCTACAAGTGTGTCCTACATATGTTTTTGTTTTGATTTATTAACATAACAGCAAAAGCTGCACTACTACTTTTCTTGCTGACTTCCCAGCCATAAGCCCATACCTACAACAGGGCCACCACCTTAAGAAAATCCTGCTCCTTGCCAACCTTTGCAGCTTTCCGAGGACAAGGACAGACACATAGTGCCTCCAAAGGATGACTGTGCTGCATCACAAGCTTTGGCCAAGCTGCTCTTTAGACAGCTGGCTAACAAGTGCAAATTCAAAAATGATCCAACCGGACTTCCTAGATGAGTCAAAGCTGGACATGCCCCCATAGGCTGCAATGGGGGCCAGAGGTTCTTCACCAGGCAGCAAGGTGGCTCTGAGAACATACCTTCCATTTAATGACTATGCATCAACTGACTAGGGCGCCCAACGCAAGCAGCAACACAATCCCACTTCTCCATCCGCCGTCCTTTTCTTCTTCAGCTCATCCTGGCAACAGGTCTCCTCTGCTCCTCAGATTCCTCAATGGACATTTTTCGCAATGTCTACTCTGCATTTTTGTCTCCTGACTTGCACCTTCTTCAAGCCTTCTTTCTACAGGGTTTCACAACTAGAGAGGGACATCCATAAAACATCATCTCCCTGCTTGCCTTCTGCACCTCACCACTCAAACTTCCCACCAGCTTCCTGCTCTCCATCACAGAATTTCAACCTCTCCTTCTCCACCCTTCACAATAATTTCACCTTTTTATATTTTCTGCTTTATCCGATCACGTTGTTCCTTATTGCTTTTGCCACCAAAATAATGAGATCTTCCCTCATTTCTCCATTTTCTACAAATATTTCCAAGCTTTATCTACTGTAATCTAGACAAAACGCTCACGAATCCTCACATTAAGATGAAAACTATAAACTTACTGTATTCTGAGCATCAAATTTAATCAATTTAGCATGGAAATTAAAACTAAAAAATCAATATACATATGTATATATATAAACTATTTAATATTAAAAGGGAAGGTAGTCAAGGTAAAGTTTTAGTAAGCAAAGCCCTGATTCTTCTGAACAGGGTACAAATGTATAGCAAATACCAAACTGTCTTTAATGCTAGCAATTAGGATTTGCTTTTCCAAAGTACACACAGAATCCAATTAGTTTTCTTGGGGGGAAAAAAACCCACTTTTCTAATCTCTGTATATTTATCCACTGTAACTAACCCTCAAAAGGGAGATTCTGCTTACTTCTAATAACCATGATGTGCTCCAAAAGACCTAAAAAACAGCAAACGTCCACAAACATTAACATCGTGATTCAAATCCTCTACAAGTTACATTTCATTGACAAATGAAATCATACTGAGAAGAGATCTGCAAGGGAATGACAGCTTTGTCCATGCTTCCTTTAGCTTCTAAAGGTACAATTATTAAATTATTATTTCTTTGTTTGTCTGTGATGCTGCCACTAGATTCAGCAGAAACTCTGAAGGAGGATAGTGTCAAAATGTCACAGAATAAAAGACAGAACTTAATATTTCTGAAGATAGCAAGAGTTACCAATAGATGTACGGACCTTAAGGTCTGCCTTTTATGAGATACCATGGCAAGAACTTTAAAACACGTTTCTACCATGGACAACACACTTAACATCATCATAAATTCATTAATCAAGTGCAAGATATGTTCATTCTGTGAACTGTTTTGAGCAATTCCTTTTCAGGAAGCAAAAGCATTCCCCAGAACAACTATGGCTCTAAGAAAATCCATAGTTATTACTTCTTTTCAACAGCAGTGTTTAGGATTCTCAAAATTTATGTGAAATTGAGAAGTCCATATGCTATGAAGTATTTTAAAGGCAGAAGGAAATAACTGGAAAAATCAGAAAGCCTGTCTTTACCTTCTGAGCAACATATGACCCTTTAAAGAATCTGTCAGAAGGTCGAACACACATATTCATTACCTTTCAAAACATTTTCTTTGGATACCAAATCAGTCATCGAATACAATTTTTCGCCAAGCTTTGCCTAGCTTTAAAATGAAAGAATAAAAAGAACCTTTAGTCTTGAGCAACATCTATTTAAAATAGATGAAAATAAATATTGTAAAAATAAACTTGTCCATCTCAGAAAGCTATGCTTGCATATATTTTACTTGAAATTCTACCATATATATATATATATATACACACACACATATATATACACACACACACACATATATATGAAATAAATATTTCACTCTTGCAGAGCATGCTGTACATGCTTTAGATAGAATAATTTAAAAATCAATCCTTCATCAGGTTCAAAAGATTTATAGCAGCAAGTAATTCAAATGTAAAAGCTAGTGAACTCTATAGGTAAAAGTCATTTTCTGTGTGTTTTAAAGTTCATTCCCTAAGGCCATGCAGAACATAAATGAAAATGCTATTAAAATACGCTACAAACTGAGCTGAAAAACTGTCCTGGAACACAGAACTGCTGGACTTCAAGACCAACTCTACAGCAATAAAACAGTATATAATTAACAAACAGAAGCTTAGTGATTGAAAGGTTCACAGTTGTACAAAACTTCCACAAAAAGCTTTCAAAGGGAAGTTAGTGAAGGAATAAAAAATCTGGTAAACTAACCAGCATTAATGAGAAAAATCTGCAAGACTGACAAAGCATACTGGTGTTTTCAATCATATACTGCTTTTATTTGCTACAATATTTTCTTGTCTTAGCAAACTAAATTTGATTACTACATTAAATACTATTTAGTACTACAGATTTGAATCCTGCAAGAAAGTAGTATTGGGCAGTGCCACTGCTCTTTTGCAAGGTTCCATTTTGGCACACTGTGCTACACAGGGCTTATATATGTCAAATTGGGATTTAAAGCCTGGTACCGTCTTACCAGGATGCAAACCTGAGGTAACATGACTGAAACTGCATGTGGTGAGGTGATCCTGCAATAATGGCTCTAGTCTGTAGTCTATGATGTGCAGAGGAAAATACAGTCAGACATGGAACACCATTTTTTCCACTACTCATAGCTGGGACCAAAAGACAATATTTTATCAGCATACTCAAAGTGGTTTTAACATATGATTCTGTAATGGTACAGTGCAGAAAAACAATAAGATTTTGGTATTTAATGAAGCTCCACATAGCTACAGTGTTCATGGGGAAGAACTGGAGAAGTTGCACGTCTGGTTCTTCCATCATGTGATGTGCAAGACATGTTGCAGGGAACTGCAACCCTTGCAATCCAACCCCTCTAAAAAAATCTTCTGAAAAAAAGCATTTTGCCCTTACATGTCACTGGCATTAAGTACAGGACGGGTGCATTAACATGCCAAGTTTAGGAAGTTCACGTTCAACTAACACTTGAACAAGAAGTCAAGGTCTTGTGTGCTCTCTCACAGCCCGGCTTCGTGTCCCTGCAGCAGCTTTCACTGGAGGCTCAATACATCCTGCTCAAGCAGCAAGAAACCTGATGGTTTTGTCAAGTCCACAAAGGACTCATGTGCTCATTATTTATTTTATATTTTGTATATATGAAGCATTAATAATATATCTAAAGTGTTAGGAATATAAAAGGATAGACAGAGTTTACTACTCCCACAAACTAACAGATACAGCCAAATGACATAGCTACTCTGCCTAGTTTCTATACCATAACTGTACAGGACACATAAGTCATCTTCTTCATGAAACAAGGTCATTTCGATAGTATTTTCTTTATTTTTTAAAACTTTTCTTTAAAAAAATCTATGGGTACCATTTCTTAAAATGCATTCAAATATGAAACTGCTGCCATCATCGCAAAGATATTTTATGATGGAAACTGCAGGGTTCTTGTGATTTAAGCAGCATTTGACTAAAAGCATTTGCAGTGAAGGAAACTAATACAGTCTTAGGAAGCTGAAATATATTGAAAAACCTAGGATTATATTTTTTAGAAATGATGAGAGATGACAACAACATTGACTACCTAGGCACATAGAAGATAAGAACTGAATTTAATCCTAATTCTGTTTTCAAAGAAAGCTGGTTCAATCAAGCTCTCAAATATTTATGTTAAATAAACTCTTGAACATTAAATACAAGATTGCGAGTTAGGCAGATTTAGGACATTAAAAAATCCTTAATCTCAGTTTCTAGCTGAAGTGAACATCTAATCTTCGTATAACACTTAGGGCTTATAACATGCATAACTACTGAAAAATGCAATGATATATTTTTCAGAGCAATGCATAAGGTCATTTTTCCAAATAAATTAATTATTTACAGAAATTTTTCAAAAATATCTGAACGGTATTTTTATCCCAACATATAAACATACACATTCACATTTATATACACATACATTTATGCATACACACTCATAAGCCTACATATACACACAGACATCCACCTAACTTTATAAAAGCATTTATTATTAAGAACTGAAAAGTGATCAACATAAAATATGCCAAATATTTACTGGAGTTAAAAATTCATTTTCCAGTTGAACCTATAACCCTGAAAATGCTCTAGCCTTCCTCAAGCTTTTGTATGAAAAAGGTTTTATCAATACCTCTCTCAGAAGAAAAAATGACACCCCTGAATAACATTTGTGAAGAAGTGCATAGAAAATTGTTGATTTCTGCTGAATGAAATTGAAGAGGGGTAAAAAGGCGGAGTGTTCTGGAAGTTCCCAAGCAAAACAGTTACATTTCTTTCCTACGTTACCTGATCGTGGCTTCAGGCCAAAAGGGACTGTGTTGTTTGCAGTGGGAGACACTGTCGGACTTTTATCCTTGTTCTGTGCAAATCAAAAACATTAATTGGAGTAAGAGTAACATCCAGGGTATCTCAGCACAAGTGTTGTGTAAAAATGCAGAGATAACAGCACTCACACTACAAACATTCTCCCATAATCTGATCACAATATATTCCCAAAATATGTAGTAAACACACACTCCCTTTCTTGTTCCCTCCCAGTCCTTCAAAGGCAAAGAGAAGTTTCTGATCAAAAACTGCAGATTTTCTGCCTAGCTCTAACTTACCTCTTTTTTTGTGTGTGTTCTCACATAATTGCTTGATTATTATAAAGCATACATTTCTGTGGCAGTAGTACAGTGATAAAAATAAAACAAAGACCAGTTTTTCCTTAGATAAGTTTGTTTCTTGTACTACATTCATTCCTATTTTGCGTAACTATTTTCCCTACAACACTGAATTTCTGCTTAAAAAGTCAAAAGCAGGAAGCTAATCATACATTAGCTCAGAGTGGGATACCCTTTGAGCCCCAACAAGATCATGTGCCAAGAATGGGTAGCAGCAGATAGGACTATATATATATATATATATATATATATATATATATATATATATGCACACACATATACATACATCATACCACCAAGAGAATCTTTGGGAAAGTCCTAAAGCCAACTCTGTAATGGGAACCCTACTTAAAAGGTGATTGCTCATGGAGCCAGGAGCTACACAGCTCCAGCACCAAGGCAGCTGGGAGGTTCCTAGAAGACTCCGTGTGCAAGGAAGCAGAGAGCAGCTGGAATTTGCAGCTTGGAGGAGGAAAATGGTCTTTCTCTACCATTTATATCTGGTAGCCCATGAATGTGCAAGATGCTCACACACATGCTCTGGAGAGCAGCAAACCCTGTTTCTGCACAGGAAACAAATTCATAAAATCCCACCAAAATGCGTGGAAAGTGAAACAGGGTAAGAGTCAAAAATGAAATGACTATGTTATGAAATAGATAAATAAGAAGCCTAACAGAAATCCAGGAATTACATTTTTATACTTAAATCCTTATGAAGATGAGAATGAAACAAACAGGTCAAGTAAAACAGTCTTTACTTAAGAGCTCTATTGTGTCTCCTGTAATATTCAGCTACTTGGTTCACTTTAGTATGTTCTATATTCATGCAGCACATTAAAAAAGACACTATGGAAAGTGATGATCTACAAATCACAGACAAAACAGTGATAACTAGTATCTTACCTCATTGTGAGCACTATGTCCACTTGTATTCCAAACTATTAGATCATTCTATAAGGGAGGGTGGAGGAGGAGAAATGAAAAAAAAAGAAAGAAAGCACTAGATCAACAAGGGTATTAGTCATATACAACCACAGGGTCTCTTCCTCAAGATATTCAAATACACATTAATATTTAATACTTTCCTACAACTACTCCCGACTTTAAAGCATTTTTTTCTCACCAATAGATTGATCTTTAGCTGAAAAAGAAATAATATATTAACTGATGATACCATTTAAAAAGATCTAATGGGAATTATTTGCACTGTTGACTTCTGACGCATGGTCTTTAATTCCTTAGTTTTCAACAGTGAATCAGAAGTGCATTTGCAACAGTATTTTAATTTTACTTGTTTCATAGAGTAATAATTAAGCTACCACCAACAGTTTAACACAGTAACATAGATTTTTTAAGTACTCTAAGTAGAGATATTCATTTTAGAATTGTACTATAACATAACTATTGTTACTGCTTTTACTGTAGTTAAATCGCAAACATTTAAAACAGGGTAATAAAAATGAAAACAATTGTTAAATTCTCTATCATCATAACGATGGCTAGGCAACAAAAACAAAAATGACGTAGGTAAAAACAAATTATAATTCAATGCCAAACTCCTCCTACAGGGTCCAATTTTTTTGTGTTATGGAAAAAAAAAATGGAAACAAACATAAATGCTCAGAACACTCGGTCCCAAAGGTCACAGAGCTCTCCAAAAGTTACCAAGATGGGAAGGAAGGCTACACACCCATTCTGCTGCATGACCCTTCTTGGCTGCCTCTCAGGCTTAACAAGTTTCTCAGCTGAAGACTTCTCTCAATCTTACCTCAACCAAAATATTCCCTAGAATAAACAGATGCTAGTTAGGCCTGCACTGCAGGTCAAATCTATGCAGATTCTAAATTTATGCTTAACTGCAGTGATACAAATACTCACTGCACTACAGAACCTAGTACTAGAACCCAGTAGATGTGTAGGCACTGTCTGCAAAATATTAAGTGCTATTAACTTCACCTTAAGGAAAATCCCTAGTGCTTTCACCTGCATAACACAGTTGAGACCAGCCCCTCTACATGTGTTTGGGAGGTTTTATTTCTTCTTTTTAGTAACTTCTTGAGAGTCAGCCGTTTTCTTGTTAAGCAGCTTCACTAAGATACAGAGATAACACATGTTTTGATACTGAATTAGATTTATGTGTAATTTCAAAACTGTAGTAAGGACCCTTTCAAATGCAGTTTGGTTACCCCAACATCTAAGGATGATGGTAGAATTCTGGATGGAAGAAAAAAGAAGTATGAAAAGTTAAATGTTTTTTGAATTGAACTTGTTTAAAAGAAAAGATATTTGAAACTTCAAAACTAGTATCTCAACTTATATACAGTCTTTTCTGTAGCATTTACCATCTTAAAAATGCTGCTGTTCACATAAACTTAGCACCCTATATAACAACACAGCACTATATAACAACTTAGCAGCTTATACAACAAGGGTCAGGACATTTGGGGAACAGAGGCAAGAGAAATCAGGTGTTTATTTTACCAAGGCTCTAAACCCACTATTATTTCCATATGGAAACAAACATAAGCTAACTATTTATTCCAAGTGTTTTCCACACTTATTATATCCTCCATACCTGACTCAATGACCAGCTTTTGCCCTGTTCACATGTTCTGGCTTCCGTCTTCTTTTTCTCCATAATCAATTCCCTCCTCTTCTGAAATTCTAGTTCCTCTTCAGCATTTTCTTTCTATAAATACATAGACTCTTTAGACTGCATATCACTAGAAATAGAACTCTTCTTTATTATTTATTTATTTTATATAGCATTATCTCAGAGTAGCCCTTAAAAACACTGTGATGAAAAGCCAAGAAGTAACTGAACACTATGTACCAGCAATACCAAAATTTACATTGTATAAGGTATATAATTTTGAAAATATAAACAAATTACTAATAAAGAATAACTGTTCACCAGTCAGAATACACATGAAGTATTTACCAGCATATGTCACACAGTAAAAATCCAAATAATACAAGCTATACTTTCTGTAACTATAATGTCAGCGCCTTAGGAAAATGGCAATTTTATCTTACAGAACGTTTCAGGGTTATTCACAATGAATGTATTGTTTTCTTACACTGAGCTAAGGAGATCTGAGGGAAATAGAAATGTAGCTGATGTCTACACAGTAGTAATTTATTTTTAAAAGGCACCAGAATACTCGAAAGAGATGGCCTTGTGGAAAGGTAACAGCGGTTCTGCAACCAGAAACGGCACACAGAGGGGAAAAAAAGCTGCGATAAAAGACTGATAATCCCAGGAAACTTAAGAAAAATAAAAAAAAATCTATAAAAATACTCAGAAGACTTAATTGCAACTTCCAGCCTGCTAAATTTTTCCTTTCTCTATCTGGTAGATTAATTATTTGTTAAATTGTTGGCTCAGTTCCCGCCTTTAGCACAGCTATTTGGCAATAAACTGCCCATTAACCTACCTGAGCAAGGGAGGACATCTCCATCTGCATTTGACTGCTGCATATAAAGACAAACAAGGTAATCATGTTATTGAGAATATAGAACCTTAAATATGATGAACTTAACAAAGGTATTATTTTTCTTAAAAAGCTGCCTCTTCATTTGTCTCCTTTTGGCTACAAAGAGAAGATACAGAAATTTCACTGCTAATTTAGGCACCTTCTTAATGTGCTTTATTGAGGTGGGATGAGTTTGGGCTAGACAACTTCCTACAATTGCCACAAAGTACAAGAAGCCTGAAAAAAACAGAGCACACTAAAACAAATATGACTACTCGGGACTAAACTCCAGAAAATCACAGTATGGCAACACAACAAGATAAATGTTGAAAAGTTTCTTCCACCTCTAAAAATTTAGATTTCCTTCATATCCCAAGCGATTTAAGGATCTTGTAAAGATACTCAGAGAGAGAATGTATTTCCTTTATGCATAAGTGGCTGCAGAAAAACATCACTATGTTAGCAACATGTTAGCCAAAACTTCTAATTATCGGTATTTAAGGGAAAAAAAAAAAAAAAAGGAATTTCTCATGTTATTTACAGTAATTTTAAACACATGACATTAAGACACAACTGCTGCATACCTGGGGTCCTGTAACAAATCTACTGCTTCTCTTAGTTGTTCTATCATTGCTATATCAATCGTTTGCTCTTCTGACAAATTTATTCTATAACAGGAAAAAAAAAAGATTAAAAAAGAGGCACCACAACAACTGTCAAAAATAGTCTAAATTTCCATTTGTGAGCTGTACCTTCGAACAGGGACTCAAATATTAGCAAAAAGTCTCTGTGTCCACTAATATGTGATGAGTTCACAGAAAGAAAGAGAGCTCTCCAGTATGTTTTTCTTATTAGAGCTCTCCAAGCTAACACATATATACGTAAATACACATTGTGATGAACTACAACTTCCAATATTCCCATTAAACAGACTGACTTCTGAAAGTTTGTTTAGCAATACTTAACTACTTGTTAACTTCACTCATCATGTATACTGTCTTAAAACAAGTATCCAATACACAGACCATGTTAATAGGCTGACCACATGTTCTCTTCTGCTTCTCAACATTTGTAATTCTTTCAGGAGTTCAGAAGCACAATCACCTGCTAGTTCTGCCAATAATTTTTTTTCCCAGAAAATACTCATTTCTGCTTTCAGCTTTTGTTTTAATTACATAGGACTTCACTCTTCCACTTAATGACAATTCAAAGTTCCTAAATCATATCAAAAGTTTTTCTATGCATTCTCCAAGCTAATGTTCACCTGCACTTCCTTTGAAATAATTTCTGTAAGTTAAGGAATACTTCAGGGACATGCAAATTGTAACAGAAGAAGATCGAGGGATATTTTTTTCCCAGTTAAATTATTTTTTAAGCATTAGAAAATTTAGTAAAATCCTTTTACTAATGACATTAAAAGAGTAAATATCAATACCTAATTAAAAACCCTGCACTCTTTATCAGTTAAAACATTACAGCATTACTAGGGCTCACAAATCAGCTTTAATGCAACTCCCACTTAATATTGACAATACTGTATAAATATTGAGCGTACGTATAAAACATAAGTCAGTGCTTCTGTCATGCTTCTAAGTACACAAAGTCATTAACTGATAAGGAAATGCCAGTGTGGTCATCTAATGAGAAGGTAGAGCTAATTATTTTTAGATACATGAAAAAAAAATACTTACATTTCCTCTGTTTGCCATTGTGCGTCCTCTTCTATTCGCAGTAATTCATCACACTCTGCTGCTCTGCTCTGTAAGCAGACAGACCCGTATTGAGATTGGGACCTGGCAGCTACGCATGCAGGTAAACTTCCCTTTCAGACCCAGCACTGACCTAGTTTATTTAGCAGTTTAGTGTGGCTAGCTGAAGCAACCCAACTCTTCCGCTCCACTCCTTACTCCCTACCCCCATTTAAGATGCTCATTATATGATTTTCTGTTCAGTGTTGAGACTTTATTGAGGTCAGCAGCCCTTACCCTCCTATAACTTTGTACAAAAAAGTCAAGCAGCACGAGAACTCTTTATGCAGTGTCCCAGATTTCGTTTGTGCCTTTCTGGTGTATGCAAACTATTCCTCAGTTAAGACTGACCCTGACATTCATCTTATTGCTCTCCTCCCACCACCAGATTTGTTTACAGAGAAGGAAATTCCAAACATGCAAACAAATAGCTTAAAAATATGCAAGAGTAAATCCAAGCTAACGCTCATCTTTGCCCTTGAAAGATAGTCACATCTTTAAATTTTGTGCACACATGAATCTGTAAAGAATAAGGAAAAAGGCCCCATAACTGTATACTTCATTGTAGTTATTAACAGAATTATTACTTGGCTATTTGAACAATTCTGCATGAAAAAAAGAAAATAAAGAAGAAAATCAGAAAGCTGACTCTCTCACTCACGCTTCCCTTTGGTGCTCGGCAAATTTCTGTGCTCTCTCACATCAGGAGCACTGGAGTAACTGAGCTGCCAGGAAAGGCAGAAGCGCTCTGCACAGCCGTGCATTTGTCCACGGAGAGAAGGAACCACAGACAGAGATGTCTGTCCTCTTGGGGGTCACATGTTTGGCCTATCAGTCACCACCCTGCACTCAACAAACGCTGTCCTGCCCTGCCAAGCGTGTCCCTAAGCGCGCGCCGGCCTTTCCCGCATTCCATGAGGCCGGCTCGCTTCCCGGGGCCGATCCCCAGGGAAACACGCACGGCCCTTCTTGCCATCCATTTCTTCTTCTCACGTGCATGAGGAAACGTGTGGGTTTTTTCCCAGTGAAAAAGCATATATCATCCAATGATCAAAGTGTGTCGCTACTTTTAGAAGGGGATTTTCAGTCTCTGCATTATTATTATATAAATAATATAAAGCTATTACCCATTAGGGATGACATTGAGAAAAAAGATTCTTCAAAACTTGAGTCAAAGCCCCTTTTATGTTGCCAGTGGTATTGTCTACTTAGCCTGATTTCCAAAATTAGGATTCCTCCAGTGTCCCAAAATGCATCCAACTAAGTATGTAATACATTATATATATATACAAGTAAATATAAATCAAAGAACACAAGAGATCCAGAAGTAGGACAGGAAAAATATCCCTAATTCAAACTCCTTGTAAATTTACTGTCTCTTCAAGCTACCAAACGCTGATCTCCACTGCCATAATGTTAGGGAATGAACTGAAAGAGCAGCTGCTGAGGGTCTGTTGCTAGAAAAGAAACAATAATGTCTAAAAAAAAGGAGAGAGATCATTTGCAGAACAGGATGCCTACTTCCCTCTACCTTCAAGAAGGTGGGAGGTGACATCCTGTGTCTCTCCACTCCTGCTATCCAGCTCAGCTCTAGCAAGAAGGGATGGAAAATGGAGATGCCATAAAGCTCCTTCACATTTCTTCATCATCTCCACAGAAGCAACAAATTGGTCCAGAAACACCCATACTAGATAATCTTCTCTGGATTATAAGTCTCATCTTCTCAGGGCCATAAGAACACTCCACAATACTACTTGTTATCAAACATCTATATATTAGAAAGAATCTGGTAAAACAGTCCAGCAAATAATTTTCAAAATAGAAGTCTTCTCTAGAACACTTCAAAAATTCCTCAGTCCAATCAATAGCATTAAAATAATGATAATTATGCAGTTTTCACTGTATAATGAGCCCACTGAATTTCATAAGTTAAGAGCCAACAGCAATCACTCGATTTCCCTGTATTCTTTTAAAACTTACTACTTATATGCAGACAAAATCTACTAAGCATAATGCAACAGATAAAAGATGTGTTTTCAATAGACTCTAGCAATTTTTTTTTATATAACTTTAGATATCTCTATAACTTATCAAAATCTTCTGGCATTTTGTAACATAACAAATGCAAAAATTACTTAATTCAAAATATGAATCAATCAGTGCAGGATATACCAGTCACATTTTTCTCACAGCCTTAAATTCAGTAAAAAGAGCATTCTCATATACACCAGAAAGCCTTATGGGGAAAAAAATAACCTTCTAAAATAATTATCATCATTTTAAGCCTATCTGCTTACTTTTCTATTCTGCAGCTCATGACAATTAACATATCAAATATATAGTCTCCTCTTCACTGATCTGTCTCCATTTTGTCATTCCCGCAAGCCCTGTACTTACGAAAGCAGTCAAGTTATTTTCTCTCACTTAAAAATCACAAACTTGCCTTAATGTAACTCATAAATTCAGTAGTGAGAGTATCCGATCCATCAACAAACTGGTTTCCCGTTTCTCTTGACTTATCATTGACAACCAAGTGAGCAGATCCCTGATGGAATTCCACTAACAATAATTAAAAAAAAAAAAAAAAAGAGGAATCATTTCAGGTTCAGCTTATCATTACTTTGGAGAACATGTAAATTATACAACTCGAATAGAAGCAAAGCTTAAATTCAAAGTCTAGAAAACCCTTAAGCAAGTTAAGGCTTAGTTCCTAATGAGTGATATCAGTTAATTTAAAAGCTGTAATAAATGATCAGATGCTGAGTTTGTACAGTTGTGAATCAGAAGCACCACAACAGGCACAGATAGAGCTAACTTTTGAATTAAACCAAGAGTGTCTTGGTAGTACCCACAAAAAACACAGTTGAACAGTATTTAGAACAGTTGATGGCACAGTCAGTGAGGCTCTTCACAAAATAGTCACTGAGTTCATCCTGCAATTTACCATGAGAATGTGGACCTTAGATAAAACTTTTCACAGCATGTAGACAGCATCCAGAGAATGTAACTTGAATAAACTCAGATAAAACCACATCTTTTCTCAAAATTTGAAAAGGGTCACTTCTTTACATATGTAAGGCTGACTTGGATTTACAAAGCTATATATGCTTTAGTCTCTGCTTTTATACATTACTTACTAAGAATCTGGTATATTTGGTAAAAATCGGCAGACATTGATTTTATTGACTGGGAAGCATGGATTGAACTGAATCTCAGTTTTCCAACTGACTCTCCCCAGTCATAGCCACAACTTATTAATTATTGAGACAGAGGGTAAAAATCTGCTTCGGACTGTGGTGAAAGGAACTACAGGAATCTCTACTCAGAGAGCCAAGTCTGCTTGAAGCAGCACAAGCATATGCATGATTGAAGCCCTTTGGATAAAAAGAGAAATAGGTTCAAGTTTTAAAATTAAAATGATTGGGATAGTTAAAACAACTGTTCACTGACTAGAATTTCGGCAATATATCCAATGCAAAATACTGAAAACTCAAAAAAGTACATTAAAAAAAATAAAAGCACTAAACGCAAAGAATCTAACATAATATGTGTGAGGAGGGGGGTTGGACTAGATGACCTCTGAGGTCCCTTCCAACCTTAAGCATTCTATGATTCTATGAATAGTGATGTCTGTAGAGTCCTGAAAGACCAATGCTTGTTAGGCTGTGGGCTTTAGAAACTGAATTTACAACATTACATATATATACTTTATTTTATTATTATTTTTTTTAACATTCCAACCTTTTCTTGAGTTAGCATGGTGACCTGAGTCTTCTTTTACAAACTGATCTTCTTCCATGATGTCTGACATCGGTACATTAAAGCTAATAGTATCTTCATCAGATGGCTAAAGAGAAGCAAGAGACATTGGTTTCAGCTCAAACATGACCAACTAAAAGCTCATTAGGAGTGTCCACTCTGGTATGGAGTAGAAGGGCAATGTGGGATAGGCCACCAGAGAGTCTCAAGTGACCAAACCTGCTCTAAGAGGCTGCAGTCACATTGAATGTATCCTCACAGCAGACTGTGACAATCTGTTTTCTAAATATTTTGTTTATTGGGTTGTTTATTGCCAAAGAGGAAACTGGAATAACACTGTTTCATTAATGAGCTAACTCAGAGAAACCTAAGAAAGGCAAAATAGTTTGCAAACCTCTTTGAATGGAATATATGTGGAATATAAAAATAAATATCTGGAATATAAATTACCAGAAATCTGTTTGGAAATCACAATAATTCTGCTTCATTTCTCTCTAGCAGGAAATATGTAAATATAGGTGACAACTGTTACAGTTTAAAAGAAAACTGCAGCACTTGAGTGTTTTTTTCTTTAGAGGAATAGTGCATACTCTTTAGAGGGGATTTATTTTCAAATTCCTTTTTGCAATAACTAAAAATAAACACTATTTAAACTTGACTCCTTTGACATTTTGTTTCAAAAGCAGCTGAACCACATTTTCCTCAAAAGAAGAAAGAAACGTTGAAGAATGAGTGCAAAATCATTTTAAGTAGGGAAAAGTATGTTCTTTGACTTGAATATTTCCCCATTAAGTGAGACTAGAAATCCTGTTGTTATTTCTAGGTTTCATGAACTATCTTGAAGATTATTTATTTATGATTATTTGTTCATTTGAGATTCAAGTGATCATTTGGATACCCACGAAAAGACTTTTCTAGGATTTAGCACCCTATTCTGCTGAGAGACATAGTAATTTAACCCTTTTGAAGGCTCATTTCCAGCCCTGCCTAACTGTCAGAGTGGTTATATGGAGACCTGTGATGTTCCTGAAGTTCCTACTCTCCAACAAGCTGCCCTAAACACAACAGCACGGATCGTGCTGGGATTGGGCACACAGATTTCCTCCCATTGACTCCCACTGCGAGAGAGTCATCGGTCCAAGCAAGGGCAGGTGTCAGGACAATTATGTCATTGCCAGGAACAGATCTGGATTCTGCTTTGCTCCTTGCTGTTTGGATTGTGACCCACAACGCCTGAAACCTGTGCTGAGTTTGCACAACTGGCAGAGTGATGGCCATTTGCAGCCAACTTCAGTGGCCTCTCCAGGAAGCACAAGGACGAAATAAAACAAAAATCCAGCTTCCTTTAACCTTTGCTTCAGTCACTACTTAGAGAGAAATTAATGCCCAGATGGAGTTGCAAAGTTTAGGGGACTAAAGCATTTATTTACAGGGCTACCCAACTGCACATGTAATGAAATGCAATGCAATAAGAGTTTTGGACACAGAACTGAGGTGATTTACCTCTGTTGCTGACAAACGTTTATCGCCGTTATCGCTGCCAACACCTGAGTCAGAGTCCTTCTTACTGGGGAAGATGTCATCAATACTAGATGGGAACAGAAGAAAAATGGACAGAACGTTAGCATGGTGCACACAGAGATTTCTTGCTGGTTTTCATTTGAATCAAAGCAAAATTCGAACCAGTGGTAAAAGTTCAGTAGCTTTAGTTTGGTTGCAGGTACATCTCTGGAGTTTGGTGGTAGTAAAGAGGTGAGAGATGGACGAGGCCCTTCTAAGCAGCTGCTCAGCCTAAAGGTTAAGGAAAACTAATACTAAGCTTTACTTCCCTAAAGCTTAAGGCAAACTACACAAACCATGTGCCCCAGCCTTGCTCTTGCCCACACGCGAGGGAGGACTGCTTTGCTGTTAGTCCAGCGGTGCGAGGCTCTGGCTGGACCATCATCATTTAGTTGTGTGATAAGCAGCTAAACTGGCTGACTCCTGTGAGAGTTCAGCTGAATTAAATGCAATCACTGACACATTAGCAATGAACCAATTTCTCCCTAGGGTTTGGAGTAATTATTAACACAGAAACCTCCTTTAGGCGATTTAAAATAGACTTTGAAAATTAATATTTTAAGAAGATCTCTATAATAATGGCAACTGCTTTCTCTCCTGATTTCATTACCAGGTATGACCTTTACTAATTTTAAAGTACACAATTAGATGCAGCACACCATCTATCTTATTCCATTATGTAGGCTTATTTTTCTCCCATTTGCAAACCTGAAAGCAGAAATCCATCCTAAATTTAGACTGATGCACAAAACCCAGAAAATGATTCTAATGGTCTTTAAATGAAACACATATCTGATGAAGTCTAATCTTCTCAAATATAAGTACTTTCTCAAATATAAGCATTGAATGAGGAAAACTACATTACGAACCAAATGTAGAAAGGGCTGAAACAGTTATCAATAAATCCTCAAGCACTCATGTTAGCTATCACATAATGGTTATGTGATAGGACAAAATCCTACAGTTAATGTTTAAACTCATTCTTCTCCAAGATCAATTTTATTTTATACTGAAAAGATAAAAAGTAACCACCTACCCTACCCCATCCCTCAAAAAAACCCACCAGCAGGTGCTTCCCGAGTGGAAATATTGCTCTATATCCTAGTTTCTTCCCACTCAACTTTAGCATTTGATAGAAATGCTCAAAACTGTCTTCAAACATAAATTAATGTAATTCCTCGACACTTCTTTTCATACGTTTTTCAGGATGTTAGCAGCAACATCTCTGTTTTTTTACCCCATTGATGCTTTCTTTCTGCTGAAAACTTCTCTTCAAAATCGAGGCCTTGCTAGCAGGCTTTCCCAATCAGCTATATTAAATTTCTAATGTTGGCAAAGAAAGAATTGCTTAAGACCTACTTTCCAATTAGCTATAAAGATCCTTACAAAATGACTCTCCTATCCAGTCTTGTCCTTAAAATACCAAATGAGATGGTAATTCCTAGACAGCTGATGTAAGACACTCACGTGTCTGTCTTTGGCTTTGCTAAAAAATTAGCCCACTTCATTTTAAAAGACTTTCAGTGTTCACTCCATTTCTATAGACGGAAAAGAACTTTTTAATAAAGAACCTTTTAAAAGCTAAGTCACTGCAATGTATGTTGTGTGGGACATATATTGTTATAAGAAATCTCACTTATTTCCAAAGTATTATATGACTTACTGAGTTTCATACATACCTCTCTTCCACAGGCGGTGGCAAATGTGGTGGTTCTATGGCATTAAGATACAGTGAGTCTGCTGATTTAATCTGACAGGCCTGTACACTCAGATATTTGAATATATGCACCTTACCCTTTGTACAAATCTGTTAAACAAGAAAAGAATTTAGCTTTATAACTATAAACATCACTTATTAAAGATTTTATTCAGTGCAAAACTCTGCAAACCACCTGGTGTCACTACATAGGTATCATCTAATAGAAAACAAATATTACCTCGAAAAACAAAAAAAACACTACTTTAATGAGACAGCCGTAGATTTGTGTGTACTAGACTAAATACTTTCAGGCAACGGGACATAAAACAGCAAAAAATGTATTCTACTTAACTAATCAAAGCGAGCTTTTTATGCAAAAGCAATAAAGATTATTAAAATATATGTCTGAAAATGTTTAGTTTTAAAATGAATAATCATTTGCTAAAATTAGTCAATCATGGCACTTCATCAAATAGCATATTTTTATATACCTAAACATGTTGCTTTTACAAGTGTCCTACCTAGCATTTTCATGATACATTTCATTTTCCTTTTAGAATTATTTTTTCCCAAATTGCACTCTGTAGCTCAAATGATTGATGGAATTTGCTTTGTGTGTTTTGGAGATGGGAAATTTCCTTCCATTAATGCAGAATGAAAAATATTTATCCTACATAATAAAAAAATGTTGAATATTTTGCCATTTTTCACTCCACAGGAACGTCATGCTGGTCAATGCAGAATGAGCTTTCAGAGGTGTAGTCTGAAAACTCACTGTGCAGTAAGTCAAAAACAAAAAACATTTCAAAATAGCATGCATGGGTTGCATTAATTTATTATCATATAGTAACTTTCTATCAATAACAAAGAGGTCAGTGCTGGAAAGAAAGTTTATCCAGGAAGCTTCTCTTTCTCAGATATACACACATTCCTACATCAGGTTTCATATGCAGGCAGAAATGAAAGAAAAATCATATTAAAGGACGCTAGTAAAACGAAAATCTTCTAGAATTATGTCATTATGAGTGGTGTGTAGACTAATGCATAAAATATAGATACAATGAATCACCATTCCAAAACTAACGCCTGCAGTGATGAAAATTTGAAGCCTGTAAACACAGTAAACTATGAGAAAATAAGATTTTATACGCTAGTATTTGTACCTGTCCATTCCATTTTAAAACATAATTTAAATGATCAATATTACTTACTTGTGCTGGTGGAGATTGCAAAGGATTGTTCTCAAGCAATAATACTTGCAGTTGCACCATCTTTCTAAAACAAATTGGAATCACAAGCACTTTATTGCAGGAAAAGTCGAACTTTACCAAGGGGAGCTGTACTAGTTCTGAAAACAAAAGAGAAAAGAAAGGGTTGTATATGTATTTATTTTTGCCATTGAATGAGTAAAGTATTTCTAAATCAAACTTGCGTGCAATAAGGAAAAAAGGAATATTGCACAGGCAAAGGAAGTCACAAAGAGAACGTGCATACATCATACTTCAAATATACAAAAAGATGAAATAAAAGCCATGAATTAAGTCGGGAATAAGATCAACATTTAACTCCATTCTAGAATGAGAAATAAAAAGGCTGTTCCTGTTATACAAAGAATAATAATCTTTAAAAGTCTTCAGAATCTCTTTTTTTACTTAATATTCACAGTTAACCATTTGCATAACTTAGAAGATACTTATTTTTATTCATAAAGATAACTCATTAAAAAAGAAACTTTTTTTTATTAATAAGTACTATAGAATGTCATATTCTGCAAAGGCATAGTGATCACAGAATAAATTCAAGCACAAGGAAATTATTATTTTTTTAAATCAAGTTTACTTTCACAATTTTTAAAAAAGCACTTTCAAAAAAATAGCTTTGTTCTGTTTTCACCTTGGGGTAAAACTTCGAGGTAATTTCTTCTGATATTCAGTTCTTTCAAAGATTTCAGCTGGCCTATTTGCTGTGGCAAAGCTGTAATTTCATTACAGCTGACATCCTGCAGTGAAAATAAGAGCAACAGTGAATTCCTGCCATCGAAATGTTAAATAATAAGCATATCAAACTCTGGATGTTTTGCTGCTGCTACTGTAACATCTAATTACCTGAAATTACCATCTATGTTCTTTCTTTACAGTGCACAACTAGATGCATGAGAAATGTTTGCATATGACTTAAAACCCAGAATATTTGGTTAGGGGAAAAGCTAATAATTAATTTTCAAAACTTTCTTGTGCCTCTAGAGGGAATTTTTAAGCAATCTTCAGAATAAAATAGCAAGACCTATCTGCAGTGATGCTCAAGGAAGGTGTAAGTCTGATTATCACATCAGGTAACAGGCCTAAGAAAACAGGACAGGGCTTATTAACAATGTATAGAAGCTCAATGTACTGCTGTAAAAGTTATTCCTTAACAGCCCACACAGATTCTAAGCAGGTCTGAATTTGATGACTAAACTCAACTGGTTTAACCGTGTGGGGAAATCTTGGAGCCTATGCTTATCTTAATTTCTTTATAAGTGTCTGCTGTTGAGATGAAGTATAAAGTAGAGTTAAGTAACAGAGGACATCATTTCAAGAAACAAATGTATGTACGCTGATAGTGCTGTAGAAATATTTAACAATTGATAATGTAGGCAACAGCTTAACATGCTAAGAACACAGCTAAAGATCAACTTCTTGTATTAGGTCACTCCAAAGCAAGATAATTTTTACAAACGAGCAATCGTTTTTACTGGCAAACAAGATGACACATAGTCCATGTGAAGTCAATAGGATTTTGAATCCTCTGCTTACCACCAAAATACCCTGTAAATTTGAGTAGTGCCACCACTAGGCTTCTCTAGTATATTAACAAAAGGAAACAGTGCTTCATATTGCGAGAGCTAAATGGTAATGCCCGATTTTCCTGATGGAATGGCAAAGGAATATGTTTTTAGGATGTGCACTCCTACATCTTGCTTCAAACTATGGATTAACACAGTACCTAGGACCTCCTACAGAGATCTCCTTTTCGAATTTATCAAAGCAAGACAGATTTCAAAATCATCTCTGAAGACAGTTATAACACTAATCAACAGTGTTATTTCCTTTTTTTATCAGCCTAAAGAAATAGATAACATTTAACAAAAGTAAAAATATAACTTGACAATTGTCTCTCTACATCAGAGACAAGTTTCTTCCTGCGGCAGAATCTCCCTGCTGCCAAAACCTCCTTCCCTTGTCAAAACAGAGTCAGAAAATTATTTTAACTTTTAGACAAGGAAATTAAAAATCCTAGTTAATGAGTGCCCCTCTTGCCCAAGCTACTACACAGTCTGATTAATTGCACTGTTCCCAGATCCTCTATTTTAAGAGCTTTACTGTCCTATTTTTAATCTACTCTAAGCAGGCTCCTAATGAAGCAGGTATAAATGCAAAGTCACCTTGTGCCAGGGAAACTTGAGCTCAAGTACAGTGATGCACATACAGTAAGTCAGGGAAAGAAGGAGGGAATGTGAAAGAAAGTACGAGAGGTAATCTATGGTCATGTATATAGGCTGTGTAAATATGGTCCTGTATAGGTCAAGTAAAATGCACTTATGTCCTTTCAAAACATCCATAGTAAGACTGATGGATGACGACAGCAGGTCAGCACTCAGAAGATCTCCAGAGGCCACAAAATCCTTTAGCCTACTAAAGGCTGCCCTCCAACTTTCTTTTTTCCTCCGATTTATGGCTTTGATTGAATAGCTGTGGAAACAAAGTGCTACAAACTTATTTCCAGTTTTATTTCTGTTCTTTATTATTAGATTTCATGAGAGCAGGTATGACAGAAATGCTGTTAAGCTTAAGCTTTCCAACTGTTGCAGCAACGATGAAAATAATAGTGTCAAAATCAAATGCTTACTGTTTTCAAACTATTCATTTTGCTGAAGAAGAGTGTCAACTTGCAGTTGGGAACTTCACATGGGGGATACCTGCAGACCACCAGAATGAGGGCTAACCTGTTCAGCTTCCAGGGACTGACACGTGCTGAAGGTCAGGCTCATCATATTAACCCAACCATGTCCTCCCTGTTGGTTTCCTGCCTTGACCACACAGACATGTGTCCTCAAGAGCAGAGAGACTTAAGTTATTTTTTATATTGACTACTACGGCATGAAGCTTGGTGGTGAGCAGCCAAAACCAGGCCAGCATCTTTTCATGTCACCTTTGTGCTCGCTCTTCTGGCTGCTCCAACAGTGCTATGAGCAGCTTATGCAGCTGCTAATAACCTTCCCAATCAAATTCTGAAATTAATTTCAACATACCCTGAGGGAAATCAATTTTTTTTTCAATGCTTGCTAGACAGCTCTAGGAGATCCATATAATGCAGAAGTAAACCCCAAAGTTTAATAAAGTACATGAAAATTTACTGCCTGTAATATCTACGTAGCTTCCATGTCATGAGTATGAAGTGTATCCAATTTATACAGGATGTAATAGAAAAAGGAGGTAACAGAAAAAAGTTTCTTCTCTATTTTGCAGGGTAGAGGGAAGGAAGATGGGGTAGCTGGAAAGGCCTGATTTAATCTGCTGCAACCTATGCATACATCCACCTAGACTGACTCTGGGGGTAAAACCTGTTTCAAAAGCAAGATAATGAAAAGATTTGCTCCATGCACCTGGAATTTACTGCACGCATCCCAGGAAAGCCTGCAGACTTGCTCAGGAGTGCCCTGCAAAGCCGTGATCCGAGCGGTGCCCAAGGTGGCCAGAGGGTTCCCTCGGCCGGCGCGTCCTGGAGATGTCACTTGGTGGCCTCACGTCGCCCAGCAGCAACTGCACCATGAGCTCAGCCCCTTTGCTTGGCTTTGCTCTTGCTGTTTTGGGGGCCTTTTAGGACAATAGCCACCTTATTTTCTAACACTGCTTCACAGTCAGATCAGGACAGATACCGGCTATTTGCTTCTGCCCGTACAGTTTAGTCATCTCCCAGCTAAATAATACAATTCATTTAACTGGGATTGTAACAAACATAGTGGCATCAACATAAGAAATTGCGTGTTTGCACTGAAATGTGCCCAATGTAAATATAATTAGAATAAAAAAAAAAACTCTTCACATTTTTTTAAATTGCAAAGAAACAGCATCAGGGCTTTTTGAGCTTTAGCAGTTCCCTAAGGCAGGCACTACAAGTGGCAAGTTGCTATAGCACCTCGTTGGAAGCCTTTTTAGAGCAGGAATTGTGTTCATGACAAAAAGAGTAATAATGAAATTACACTGTAGCTAGGAAGTGATTTTTGCATTTTCATAAATGCACTTTGGACTTGCAAAAGTTAACTTAAATATATAATTTGTACAAAAAGATCCCAAAATTCCATTGCCCTTGGGCATTTCTTTTGAAGCTCTTAGTTGCTCACTTTCCAATTTCTGAAGCAAGGATAAGGGCTGTTACTAAGTGATATGCAAACTCCTGAAACACTTCAGCATCAATAATAGTTCCTTTACAGGGAGGATACAAAACTTGAAGCAGGATGGGAAATTTTTAAGTAACATGAATTTCAGCAGGTCTTTACTGAAAATATCACAGATCTCAGTTAGTATCACATAAGATGTACAGCTTTGAACAGAAACTGGCAGGCCAAGAATACCAGTTTATTTTACACAAGCCTCCAAGCTAAAAATTGCCTCCTTTCACCACCAAGCTAGGCTACGTTCAGCCTAGAAGTGACCAAGAGATGACAGGTTTCAAACATAGTTAACAACCTTTCCAGTCATCCCATCTGCTGTATTAGGAGATGTTTCATAGTGATCAACTTCAATTATGTGCAAAAATTGAGCCATAAACTTTTAATGAATTTATTTTAAGCAATACAGAAACTGCTAGAGTAAACTCGTTTCTTTTAAGGTTAACTGAATCTAAACAACCTATTTAAACCTACTTTAAAAGACTCTGAAGCTCTTTGATAAAGTAAATTAATTGAGCTCACGAGACAAAATAAAACAAACAAACAAAATGTCAGTCTTTAGCTCATGTATAAAAGAAAAATCTAACTGTCCACCCACAGCCGCAGTTGCAACAGGAGCCTGATACCCCAAGGTGCTGTACAAAAACAAGAATTTTATTTAAAAACGCCCCACAGTTGCTGATTTGCTCCACATCTGAAGAATCAGCAGCAGGACAAGGACCTGAAGCAAAGCCAGCTCTCCTTCTGTCACAGATCATCTATTTTTATACCACAGACAACATGATAAGCTGCCACTTTCAGATTTTATACATCCAAATGATGTATAAAATAAATGCAGTCAATAGAGACGAGGGCAGGAGAGGATTCAAACACCACTGCATAGATCTGAGTTGTCAGTTTGTTTCTTAAGAGGTCAAAATGAACAGAAATAACCAGAAGACACAACATACGCCTATGATACATGAAAGAAGGTGGGAAGCGGAGATAGAGAAACTTGTATATACAATATCCACATACAATCTGTCTTAGAAAAACACCCACAATTAAATGCAAAGATAAGTTACTGATTAGATAAGGAAATTAAGGTAGTGATTAATTTTGGCCTCTTCAGTCTTGGTAATCAAGGGACGTGTTTGTCATAGGTGACCTACTGCTTGCAGGAATAGTAGCTCTTGGGGACACTTGAGGAACACAAGAGGACGAGTAGTTTTGTAGATCTACTCAGATACAGGGATTTATAGGAAAGGAAGGCTGCATGGAAAATATATTTAAACAAGATGCAAACAGACTGGTACGACCAGTATCTTTAACAGAACACAGCGTGGTAAATAGGCAATAATAAATAAGAGAAAGAAAGTAGAAGGGAAGGAGGTTACAGGGAGGGAAGAGCTTTGAAGAGATGATGCCAGAACTAGGAACTTGACAGCCTGAAAGGAGGGAGCCAGTAAATGCCCTGAGGGCAACTGGTAAAGATGATGGAACTGCCAGCAACGTTGTGAATGAACCAAGGGCCCAGGAGAACATACAGGAAACTATTATTTTGTTATTATCTCACACTCTTAAAAAGTTCACAAGTTTATCTTTTTTAACCTGCAATATAGTATTATGCATTAGTTCAAAGAAAGTTGCAAAGTGAATTATACTGTTTCTAATCAAACATAGACAAAAAGAGAACAGTAAAACCAGTAACCTACCAGTTCCATTAACTGTTTCAGCTGCCCTATCTCTTCTGGAAGGGAACCTAGCTTATTGTTACTTGCAATTAAGACTTTTAGAGGAAGACTGCATAGGCAAGCTGGCAAAGAAGAAAGCTGATTTCGACTGCAACAAAAACAAAAAGAAAGCGAGCATTAGGAATACAAGTGACATTTTACTGCGTGCTCCTCTAAAACACTGAGAATATTTTGTAAAAGTGTTCCCATTTTGATATTTAAAGTGTAACCTGTGGAATTAAGAAATTGCAATTATCAAGGAAATACTCATACAACAGAATATCTCTACTAATAATAAATTATTAGAGAATACTAGCACTCCAGAAAAAAATGGATTTGCATCATTTCAAGAACATTGCCCCCAGAAAAGCTTTTTTCCTTCATAATGAATATGGGAAAGACGATTAAAATGTAGTGTTTTTCAAGCACTTAACAAATGTTTATCATTTTACTACAGTATAGAGAAGAAACTTATGCTCCAACTTAAATAAACTAATTACAGAAGACTTATTACTTAAATAAACTAAGTACATAGTTTATTTTGACAGTTCCTTTTCAGTAAAGTTATAGATGAAGATTACTTAGTACATTCCACTTTTTTTTTTCAGGCAACCCAAACTTTGCTATGTTTTGTAAAACAGAATCAAAGTAATAAAAAAGAAAAAAAAAAAAGAAGAAAAAAGAAAAAAAAAAGAAGAAAAAAAGAAGAAAAAAGAAAAAGAAAGAAAAAAAAGAAAAAAAAAGAAAAAAGTATATTCTCTTTGCAGAAGGTTTTGTTTTCCATGAGCTGGTCAGTGAGCACAGGCCACAATCTTATCCCTCGCATGAGCATGAGAAGGCAGGCAGGTCCCAAACCCAATTTGGAAACTATTTCTATAAATTGCCATTACACATCACTGCATTCTCAGCACCTAACATGGCTTAAACTTTTCAGTGCACTGGGGACCAATTTCATTCTCATTTTGCAGACAGGAAAACTAAGAAACAAGGAAAATAAATTATGTCCTCAATATCTCACAGAACGTTCACAGAAGTGTTAAAAAGTAGACAAAGCCACTCAGCTGCCAGGCCTATGACTGCCTCTAATTCACATTTTTTTTAAACTTCTTTCCTTTTTGCTCATTCACTGCTCTTCTGTATGGAGAAAATTAATTTTCACCAAGTCTACTCTAATAATAATAACAATAAACAACAACAACAACAACAACGGTTTCTCCTGACCTTCCAGGACAGCATTTCAGACTGTCATGCACAGAAATCAGTCACACAACAAGATAAGCCTTTTATAGAGCCTTACATCCATTATCCCTTATTTTCCTTTCCATCAGCAATGCCTGACACAGGTTAGAACATTCTGAGGAAAGATGCTCCTCAGCTGGGAAGACTTAGGATCTAATCTATATAGACTGTACATATAAATATATATATATACATACATATATGCACACATGTATGTGGGTATAAACTATGCTCAACACATGAATCCTATAAGAAGTGATGAGCTCTAAAGCTGCTCAGTCAGGGACCTGCCTGAACACCCATGGTAGCTCTGACCAGCAGAGGACATCAAGGGCATTACTCTCTTTTTTCCCAAGTTACGAAAAAAGAAAAATTACGAAAGAAAGAAAAATTAATTTTCTCAGGTTCACTTAAACAAACAGAATGAGCTTATTTAAAGATTTTGAAATTTCTCAGTGGGGAAAATATTTAGCACAGATTTTCATAGCTACCTTGCTTTCTTTAAAGAAACCTGAAAATGTTGACATTTAACTCGCACACATTAAACACAGGAGATAACAGAACAACTTTTGCAGGATCCACACAGCAGCATTTCTCCTCGTACCCCCAACTTCTGCACAGAGCATACAAACCCCGGCGCTATACGGGCCTTGCATCATATATGGCAGAAAGAAAACTACAGACCCTAAAAGGGCAGAAACAGCCCAGTTTTGGATCTCCATATACCTAAATTTTGTCACAGAACATTCTTATTCCCTCTCCACAGCTGAGTAGAGGATTTAGAAGCTTGTTACCAATAGCAGCCACCTTTATATAATAATAATAATTAACAACAACAACAACAACAATAATAATAATAATAATAATAATAATAATAATAATAATAATAATAATAATAATAATGGCATTGGGAATCACAGAGTGGTTGAGGTTGGAAGGGACCTCTAGAGATCACCCAGTCCAATCCCCTGCTCCAGCAGGCACACCCAGAGCATGGGGCACAGGGCGGCAGCCAGGCAGGTTTGGAAGATCTCCAGAGAAGGAGACTCCACAGCCTCCCTGGGCAGCCTGTGCCAGGGCTCTGGCACCCTCACAGGGAAGAAGTTCCTCCTCACATGGAGATGGAACTGCCTGGGTTGCAGCTTGTACCCACTGCCCCTTGTCCTGTCACTGGCCACCAATGAGAAGAGCTTGGCCCCTTCCTCCCTACATTCCCCCATCAGGTACTTCTACATACTGATCAGATCTCCTCTCAACCTTCTCTTCTCCGGCCTAAACAGACCCAACTCACTCAGTCTCTCCCTCATACCAGAGATGCTCCAGTCCCTTAATCATCTTTGTCGCTCTCCGCTGGACCCCCTCTAGAAGCTCCACGTCCCTCTTACGCTGGGCAGCCCATTGTAAGAGGAAACATTAACTGTTCAGCTCCTGTAAAATTGTCCTTTAAGGGTCAAAAGAAAACCAACACCCAAACCTCAAGAACCAAAAGAGCCTGGCACACTGAGGAGTGTAAGCTATCTTGTGCACTCTCAAAGTTATATACTAAACCCACTGCAAAAATAGCCTCGGCAAATTTGTCCCCAAACTGTCATCTTTAAATTACAAGCAAGAAGTGAGAACATTGTTGCAAAATACAATGCTAGAAGATAGCTAGACAAAAACGACCACAGAGTTAAAATTCTCAAAAAGTCTCATCTCATCCAAGAAGCAGCTATAATGAATGAAATTATTTTACTGAATAAATGCTTCTTATAACTGTAAGTTTTGAGTTTCCCAGATCCCTCTAGCCAATAACTTGCTAAACGGATTACAATTTTTACAGCAACATAGCAAGCACAAGAGTGTCAGATCTGTGAAACTTATCTCAAGAAAATAATAAATGCCTTGTGCTATTCTCTTTCATCTACAAAAGTTGAAAGCCCTTAGCTAAAAGCACTCTTACTAACATATACTTATTTTACCACCCCATTGAAGAAGATGAAAATCTAAAAAGATTAAACTATTCAGCAGACTGGACATGCACAAAGGGATTAATTTTAAGTTCTAGTGAACTCAGGAGCAATCCACTAAGAAATAAGGAATAGCACATCCCAAGGCAAAGAATAAGAAACTGTCATGTCTGTTTAAAAGATATAACTTTATTTAAAGATACGACACTGTTCACCAAGGCCCGCAGACTTTGTCTCTTGGCATCACTTTCTAATTCTACCCAACATAGCGGCTCCATTGGTACCAGGTAGAAAAATAAGCAGCTCTCATCCATCATGTTTTCCTTGCCAAGAAGCAAAACGCTGAGGACGTCAAGGATGTATTTCCCTCTTCTAAAGGCTGCTTATTTTGTCCAGCTAATCTGGGGGAAGGGCACATCCACACGAAGAGGAAATTATTTCCAAAGACTTTAAACTGAGGGAAATGACCTTACTTAGGAAAGCCTGAAAAATATCCTTTTGTTTTGATTGTGTAATTTACTGTGATACGTGATACTCCGTCTGTTTGCAACTATTCTGGGTTTGTGATATGACTCACAAATTCCAATGCCAGTGAGCTATTTCATTCTAATGTCTAAAATTACTTAAATGCTTTATGCAAACAATGTATTTAATGCAGTATCAATTTCTCTATGCACATCTACTTCTGATGCTATTTCACAAATTACGAGTCCAACTACTACGGTGTGAAAATGCTTGAGATACTCCAGTTTTGGCTCTATAGAGTTGTATCACAGAAGCCAAAGCTATAGTACAGTGAGAGTGCAAAGAAAGCTTGAGGACCATGCTCACCATTTCCAAGACTTCATATATTGGGTTTTAAGCTACAAGATTAGCATCTACAGTGTCTTTTCCTGGAAAGGAAACAACAGTGCCTATTTTTTTGCCCCTTCCTCTTGAAAAAGTAGTTATTTTTTCTTGCATAACGACAGGATACTAACAACAAAGCAGCACACCTTGCCTTTCCATTCTCCAAGAAAAAGATCCATCTTCTACCTCTGCCCCTTCATCTTTTTGACTACAAGTACATACATTACAGTTCAAAAAAAAAAAAAGCTTGTCATTAGAAGGTAGTTAAAGCATCTGTGGTGACATAATTTGCATTCAGAAATTGCTATAGTAGTAGGGGAGATTAATGCTTTTTTGTTCTTTCCTTAAATCATTAGTTTATTTTGGTCTTTACGATGCCTTTCTGTACAATGAAGTACCCACAGGCAGTGAATTTCTGATTTGCTCCTGGGAATAAAACAAAAGGTGTCAGCTGTTCCAGAAAAATATTAAGAACAGACATGGCACATTTGCAAATAAACAACAAAAAGATAGGGTAAACTTAAACTTACCTCAAATTTAAGTAAGTTAGCATTTGTAAGTTCACTATTGCATCTGGTATAATTTTAATACAATTATGGTATAGATTTAGTGTTTCCAGTGACACAAAATGGCACACCTCTATGGGAATCTCAGTTAATCTATTCTTGGAGAGATCTGAAAGAGAAAAAAACAAAGGAGAAGATACATTTTTTGAACCATTAGAAATATATGCTTACTTTGAGAAGCTATGTTTCTTTAATAAAGATAAATGTTATCGTACACTAAGATAGCAAATTCTGCCAATATTTTCTTTATACAAAATAAAAGCAGTGCTAACTTTTGGAACATTAAAAGGGAGCATACAGCGTGTAAAAGAACAAACACACAGTTATATTTAATCAGTTTGATAAAAGGTAATTTATTCACAAGACTCAATGTTGTTGAGGAAGAACATGCAAACAGGAGTATAACTTTCAACGTTTTCATTATATATATCCAAAGACTTTTACACAGCTGAATATTTTCAACAAGCTTTCAAAAGAGTCCCCTAGACAACTTTTCAACCAACCTGTATTTCCAGTATCTCAGTTAATTATAAAATAATTCTACCTATAAAAATGATGAAGATTTTTAAGAACATATATATGGGATATGAAGCATAAAATACACACAAGACAACAATGATGGATTCCAAATCCCTCAAGTCTGTGTAGACATAGAACACAAGTTTTCTATTTTTAAGTAGCTGTTTATTTCTCATTTTAAGCACACAAAGAAAAATCAGTATGAAGAAACGTAACTGAGCTTTACTCCTTGGCAATATCACAACACGAAAATATAAGTATCACAATTCTGACAGGAATCCAAGTAAAAGTCAATTCTGACATGAGTCCAAGTTAAATACTAATGTATGTTGGTGTGTTAATGGAGTTCAAAGGAATATTTAAATCGTGTAGCAGAACAACTGTCAGGAACAGCATCAGTCTCCCCAGAGCACCAGATGGAAAAGCTGACCTGAAAAATGGTCATCTGGGTTAAGTGGAAGGAACAGGTATGCACCTGGGCAAGAAAAGAGTTGTCTGGTGGGAAGAAACAAGAAAAATGATTCTTTCTCACTTTCTCACTCACAATGTCTTTCTCACTTCTTCCCTGATGCTATTTAAGCCTTCTCCCCGATCCTTCAAAGCTTCTGATTTTCTTAATCTACAAGAAGGAAAAAACAGCCAAAGGACTGGAGAATCAAGTCCAGCGTGCTGATGATCTCCCTCCTCTCTTCAAGGTCATCAAATAATTTTTTGTCTTTTAGACAAAGAGGTAGACGCCTGACGATGCACTGAACTTTCTTTGCACTGTCAAACTTGTCCACTTGCTGCGCAGTGCTTCAGTAGCACTTCAAAACTAACCTTGTGAGGAAGGTCTGATTTAGTACTTGGTAAGGCTAGTAACATGGTGCATTAACTCACCTTCTCCTCTACTCAGGCCAGGTTTACTATTAAACTCTAACAGCAGATTGACATGTGATAAACTACCAGTGTGATGCAGAGGGTCTTCATACAGTCTGGTTTCAAAGAAAAGTCTTCTTTTTATTTCTTTAAAAAGACACTTCACTTCATTGGCATCACCTTTAGAGCACTCTCCCTCCCTTCTTCATGGAAGAAGGGGCAATAAAAGTCAAAACATGGACGTGAATGTTGCACAGAGAGTAACCTCTCATCCTTGACCTCATCCTTAAACAACACAAAACCTTGGGAACACAAGAATGGGGCTTCTTCTCATGGTATTAAAACTGCGGCCTATCACCGACCCCCACCATCTTTGCCATTTCTTTTCACATCCAACAAAAGAAGCTGTTATCACAACATACAACTTTTCCCCAAAAAAGTGCAGCTGCCTCTGGAATGCCCCTGTCCATGTAACAGCACTCCTACTTCAAGAATTATGTCAAAAATGTCTCCTCCTACACATCTGACAGGGCACAATCTTCCCAGGAAAAGCAGAACTTATTCATCAAGTGGTTTCATTAACACTAAGCATCTTTCAAATATTACATTATGGTATTTTCCTTCTCAGTTAAATGCTTAGTTTTTAGCTCATCAGTGTATTAAAGTCTGATAGTTCATATAAGAGTTCTCTACACTCTTCAGAGTCAAAAGTGAACACTTGATAACATGACCCTTTGCTCTATAGCTGTCAAAAGCGTGGGTATACCTAAAACTTTAGTTTTAGTTCACTATATTTAACTAAGTCTGAATCCTACAGACTTAGGGCTGAATTAGGGCTTAGGAATTCCTGGAGGGCAAAGACATGTAGACATGTTGCCACATTCCCCTATGCCACCTTACTAGCCAGCTATGTTGGCTCCTGATGGAGCACACAGACATCTGATTAGAATTTATGATTTGGATCTTACCTTATGAAATAGCAACTGCCATAAAAGGGTAATTTAAAAGTACTAAAAAGGTGCAAATGTTTTTTTACTCTTCAAGTTCTCTTTTTCATTCAATTTTAGCCATGCTTCACAATTAGTAAGTAAACGTTATGATTTGAGGTTACTCACACATGCAATAGAGTGATTTTTATTTAATAAAATACCTTTATATAAATTAATCAGATCTAGTTTTCAGTATAATATATAGATGGATATAATCTGTATACTTCTAGCATACACATGGGGATTTTCAAATTAACAAGGCAGTGATTTAAAACCAAATCAAACACGTCTGACTTGATTTTAAGAATAAAATGAACTTTTTCCTGACTATCCTTTGTTCTTGAGAGTTTTAAAGCTGCTAAACTGAAAAAGGATGAAACAAATAACACAAATGATTATATACAAAATCCTAACACGTGACTGTGTTATATCATAAAACGTTATTTGCTAGTGTTAAATTGTCACAGATTAAGTCCATTTCTGACCTGTTTTATCTGCTGTTGCTTGACAAATAAAATGAAAAATAAAAATTAATTGTACCCACAGCACACAAGAAATAACAGCTACTCATATAAATACACTGAAAAAATAATAATAAAAAAAACCTGCAGGAAAACCTGCAGGAAACTGCCCGTTTTCAATTTGCAGGCGACATCCGCCCAGGCAAATATCCACCGGAGGGAAGGGGGAGCACTAGAGTGAGCTTCTTGTGTGCTGTAAATGCAATACACTATTCCCTCATTTGTGACACCAAGAAACTTCAAAGCACATTTGGCTTTGCTTCATTTACCTCCTGACAATACCAAGTTTGTTAAAACTCCAAAATAAAGGAAGGGGGGAAAAAAAAGCGCAATATGGCTTAGAAAAATAGTAGGTGGACTCTAGTCAGTCAGCACAAGTTTGGTATATACCCCTAGACACAGTGTAAAGCATTCTGCCACCAGAGGGACCAAAACAGCACCTGTCAAAATAACTAGAATAACTTCTTATCTACTTGCATCTTGCATGTACTTTTCCCCCTTAAGTAGTTGGAAATGTGTATCATCCCATAGACAAATTCCATATTTTACTTGCAAAAAAACACTGTAAAACTATAAAATGCTATTTAACTGTAAGGCTTCCACCTAGGTTGTCATCTTGGAGTGTTGCAGTGCACTTTGCCTGGGCTTCCTGCTCTCTCTCCCTACCTGACGGGAAAGGTCAATGACCAACATCCTGTGGGATGCACAGCCAGCTTTTGGAAGGAGAAAGCAAAGACTTCTATTAAAGCTGATATTTAATGCATTCTGTTTTGTTTGTGAAAATTATGCCAGAAAATAAACAGTATTTCTCAACTCACAAACACTTTTGTGTGTGCTCTTTAGCAATCAGAAACACAAAGCGCCAGAAGGCAAAGAACGCTGAATACAGTAAAAAATTCTGCATAGCTAAAATTAATCATACATATATTTTGTGTCATATTTTATTACTATTATGATAAAAACACCTCAGCCTGACTATTTTACACAGTGTAGGCAAGTTTCCCGAGTCCTCCTTGTCCCACACCTCGTCGCAACACCCTAAGGGGCAAGTTTATCTAACAATACAACCTGCATTTAACATTATTTTCTCATTGACACTAACTGCTGTATCAATACAGCGGTTATTGATCTCGTAAGTAGAGTAACGCACCATACAGCAGTTGTACGCGACCATTTTAGCGACCACGGGGCGGTGAGGCAGGCGTGGGGAGGAAGAGCAGAGCACAAGCGCGAGGCCTCGCGGAGATGGCGGCCACTAGAGGGAGGCCGGATCGCGCAGACGCCACCAGCGCGCGCGAGCCCCCTTTCCTCATGAAGCCCCCTTTCCTCATGGAGCCCTCTCTCCTCATCGTCGCATCCCCACACGGGCACCATCCCTCAGGTGTGAGGAGGACAGCAGAAGGAAGCAACAGAATCACAGAATACTCAAGGTTGGAAGGGACCTCTAGAGACCATCCAGTCCAACCCCCTGCTCCAGCAGGGACACCCAGAGCACGCGGCACAGGGCGGCATCCAAGTGGGGTTTGGAAGATCCCCAGAGAAGGAGACTCCACAGCCTCCCTGGGCAGCCTGTTCCACTGCTCTGTCACCCTCACAGGAAAGAATTTCCTCCTCACCTAGAGACGGGACTTCCTGTGTTTCAGCTTATGCCCATTTCCCCTTGTCCTATCGCTGGCCAGCAATGAGAAGAGCATGTCTCCTTCCTCCCTACATTCTCCCTTCGTGAACTCATACATGTTAATCAGATACCCTCTCAGCCTTCTCTTCTCCAGAGAAAACAGGCCCTACTCGCTCAGTCTCTCCTCATATCAGAGATGTTCCAGTCCCTTAATCATCTTAGTTGCTCTTCGCTGGACGCTCTCGAGAAGCTCCACATCCCTCTTATATTGGGGAGCCCAGAACTGCACGTCTCTGCCAAGAGCCGCAGCAGACAACTCTGAGACGCTGTTTGTAACATAACGCAGCCTGAGGCAGCTCAGATCAGTTACTGCAGGAGCAACATTCAGCCCGTGGAAGCCAACCAGTACGTTAAGGGTCAGCCATTGCATGAACACTGCTTTAAAACCTCGTTGTTGCCAAAAGACCGTCACCCACCGTTCCACTGTATTTCCCCCACTACTACATCTGTATTAAGACGCTAATGTAAAACATCTACATT